AGGAATCTTGCGAAATGCCGACATGGCTGGTGGCGAATTTCAGACAAGGGACATGGGTACCCCCCCTAACTGGGCCTCTAAAATCAGCATTTTTATATCAACAACCGAAGTTTTACGGACAGATATAACATAATGACAAAGTCCAGTATTTTGATGTGTATTTATGGTTAGCAAGTTGAGTTCCTCTCGACTGATAAACCATGATTTCTTGACACGTTGCGTGACGGTGCAGTTTCCGTGGGCTCACAAGTTCAAAAGAACTAAAGCCTGGTTCACACTTGTGAGATAAGCATAACACAAGTGAACTAAGCATAAGCGCAACCACAAGAAAAAAGGAACATATTTCTTTTTCTTGTGCTTATACTTATTTCACTTGTGTTATGCTTATCTCACTAGTGTGAATCAGGCTTAAATATTTGCATTTGCCTTCAAACTTCACGCTAAACATTTTCACATTTACTGGTCTAAGCACAAAAGCTAAGTTCTAAGGGTATAATTTACATACTGTTTTCTCAGCTGGAAGCACGAATGAGCTGATTTATCGTAAAGAAACTCCGTGCAAACAGCGAGCGATTCTAATATTTCTGCTAATGAATAAAAGTCGACAACATTTCTGTTGCCGTTCCATGATTGAGGCGGGGGGGAGCGGGGCGGGGGGAGCGTCTGCGTAAGAGCTGAGGCTAACTGAACTATTTGTCTCCACTTGAACTAATCGACACATCCCAGGACAAATGTAGCCCATGAAATAAAGCTGTTCCCACAGTAAACATCCCCAAGCCAACATCATTCAAAAGTTGTGTTCGTGAACATTAATTGTCCCAGTTGTGTAGCACGTCATCTGGTATCCCGAAGAAACAGGCCACGTTATTGTTGATTGCACGGTCCAGAATCACAACCAAAATCTAAACCTTCTCGTGTACACTTGCTTTTCGATGATGTCATTTGTTTTCGTCCCTGCTGCGAATAACAAGCCTAACCTGCAAAATGTGTTAACTTCAATGACTCTTTCAGTGCCCCCCCACCCCCCACAATAACTTGGGGCTACAGATATGTCTGCTGACTTTTGTCTTTTGTTTTTTTCTTGGGTTTTAGTATACGTTGTGAAACAACGGTTACACGGGATTTTGCCAAGGTAACAGAAATGGCACACGGGGGAAAACCATTTTTCCTTTTCGGTTGCATATCAATGACAAACGGAGAAACGTGATTTGCTCGTAATACCTTGGACATCAAAACACCAATGCAACTTACTACATTAAATGTCAAGGGCGCTGCATGTGATCTTTTTGATGTATCCATGGGTATTAGCCTCGGGAAATTTACCTCCGGAAATATTGGTCATACTCACTAAATGCAGTTTCCCGTGGTAAAAGGGTCATTTACCAAGGTCAAGAGTTCCGTGTAACCGAACCCTGAGGGAGCGAATTTCCTGGAAACTAAAGTCCAAACATGTTTCTCCTGTAGCCGTTTTTTCGTCTGTAGCTAGGGATCTTATAACCAGGACTCTACAGTATCTTGACTCGACGTTCATTACTACAAAACGACAAAATGTCTAAATATGCACTGTAAAGCTACAATTTCTCTGATTTATCCATAGCGCATCAACTTTTATTTGACTGAAATCCCACAAGTTCGCATTGCGGACCTATTTTTTTTTCTGGACACATCCACGAGTTATCTACTCGCATCTGATTGGTTTATAAACAGTAGAATTGGGTGGTAGTTAGGAATTGGAACAAACAAAAGGAATTGTAATGAGAAATATCATCTTTATCGCAGCGTTTTCGCGACTTTCAAACAAAACTTTCCCGCCAAAATTATCAGCTCGCTTTTGTTCGTTTCATAAACCATGAAACAGTGAGCGGGGATGGTGAAGTGATGAGAGCGCTTGCTTCCTGCCAACGTGGACCGGTTCGATTCCGGTACGGAGTCATATAGTGGTTGAGTTTGTTGTTGGTTCTCTCCTTGCTCCGAGGGTTTTGTTCCCTCCCGAAAAACCAACATTTCCAAATTCTTTTTTAGACCATATTCGTATTCTCGAAATTAGACGGGAACTAACCTGAAAGGGAGGCTCATGTGGGGGAATATCATTAAAAAAGATAAGTGTCATTTGCATTTGAAAAGATTCCCCCGCATTAGCCTCACTTGCAAGCTAGTTCCAGTCCCATACTGAGAATACGAATATGTGGCGTATTTGACCAGGTTAGGGGACCTGCATGTAAACAAGCCAAGGTTGAGGTGGCTTCTTCTCTAAACATTGTAATTTATAAAAATCAAATGGGCTAATGTTACAGCTTACACATTCACCGAACCTTGAAACACTCCCTTTAACCAAGAAACAAACGCTGTCCTATAATCTTGGAAATACGGATCCAAAGCCTTTCCATAAAATTCAAATACATACACAAAGCTCATAACAAACAGTTTTACAAAATTTCGATTTCCCTATAAAACGGTTTTATTACAGGTTGACCTAAACACCTGTTTTAATAACCGTTTTACTAATAAAAGAATCAATTCAATTAAACTGACTTAATCGATCAATAAAGTAGTTTTCAATTAAGTCTCGTAAAACCAAATTAAAACAAAGAACAGTAACCACTAAGGCCAAGCACAATGGGCATATACAATCCAGTGAACCAATGTAAACTCCGAGCTAATATATGTAGCAGATACGAAGCCCGGGAAAAACGTGTGCCAGCGAGTCACGATTGGTTTGGATCTTCCTTCTGATTGGTTAAAAAAGTGGCGCGAGTGTTTTAAGCTAATCTATTAGCGTGGTAATCAATGTGAATTACTTTCGACGCTCAACTGAATCCTACTCTATTCAGTTATCATATCATATCACAGTGTCTTTTTAAGGGGGGAGCCCCCTGTAAAAAAACATGGACATAACTGTGGAGTATTTTAGTCCCAAATAGCAATAGATTTATAACTTGCCAACTATCCTTCGCAGTTTGCCTTTCTGATCTGAATGGGACGTGCATTGTAGACATAAAGGTAACTACAAGACTGTTTTATTCCTGCGCACAAGAAATAGGGCGCTGACGTTTAAAGTAATGTCTGAAACAGTGTCTGATATTAATAGTTTCGAGAACCGGACTACCAGTGAAAAAAAATTCAAGAAGCTCTAAAGGAATTGTTTCCTCATCAGAGAGTAAGCTTAGTTATTCCTTGTTATTAGAAGCATCTTAGTCCTTGTTCGCCAGCGGTCGAATGGTAAATCGAATGTGAACCGACTCGGTACGAATTCGGTCGCCCTTAAATGAAGTAATCACTTCGGAAAGATTCGTTTTCTCGGGCAGGAGGTTGGGGGGGTTTACTTTCAAACTATCACCCTGGCATTACCAGAGTGCTACTTTCAACTTTCCCTAGGGGTACTTTCAACCTATCACCCTGACGTAATGGAATTGTACCTAACGCCTGAAAGTTCGAGTTATGGATGGCGGAGGCGCCGAGTTGTCTTGGTTCGATCCAGGTCATACGCCCTCGGACGGCGCTCTGGGATGATGCTGTCATCAATGGCGTACGACCCAAGGAATTTGCCTTTCGATTCATCAAGACTGTCGAGTGTTATTTGAATTTCTGGACACTTTTCCCTGGTTTCGTGGGTGGCTGGAAAGGGAGGAGACGACCAATTGAAATTAAGTATTTTACCAATTGCAGGGACCTCATCCAGTGGGCTTTTACCAGGCGTCGAACAAGCCACAGGGTTGGCAAGAAGATGAGGCAGGCGATATAACCACTCGGCAAAACGGATCTGTGAGTCCAGTTTATCAGTTATCTCGAGGGAAGGGAAATCCCGGACCGTCTGGTAAAACCGGTTTTTCATGCTCTTGAGAATATCCGTCGAGGTTCTGAAATTTGGAGCTTGGATTACCCCATCTTCTTTGCTAAAGCGTTCTTCATCATCTTGAACACCATTGCCTGAGGTCCGCTCGTCTGAATTCTCGTTGTCATCTGATGCTTGTTCCTGTGGAGAACATATTTAACAATAAGATTCCGAGCTCGAGTTTTTACTATCTCTTGATAGTTTACGAGGACGCAGCTGAGGCGCAGCCCGAGTCCACTATCACCCATAGAAATCGAGAGTTAGTAATCTAATTAATGTTCAAGTATAAATCTACTAGTCGTTCAAAAATTTAGCTAAATCCTCTTCACAGACTCTTCGAAAACCGCCGTTTTTTAACAAGCACACACTGCTGGCCTCAGTACTCAGTATCTACGACAGAAATGTAATTACCATTTGCACCTAAACGTCACTATTTCGTAGATGACCTTTAGCAATTGCACACTAATGGCTGATAATGTACCATCAATCAGCCAATCAGATTGCAGCATTTGCATTAGTATACTAGTAGAATTCTATTAATGACATTTGGAGGCTGTGCCGCTGCATCAATCCGTAATGGGGCCATTTTGAAAAGCTAAGCCTTCGTGCTCGTAATCCGCCTCAATCTTCCCCAACCTAAAACAGTCGTGTTTGTTTTTGGTTTAAGTACCTTCAAAGCTAATCAACATTCGAGAGAATTTGCTGGTTTCTTTCGGACCATCGTTTAACTTCGGGTAATCTTCGGGCATCGGCCTCACATACCTCGGAAAACATTTCAATAGCATTTTAAAAATGGTCCTGTAACCAGGTGGTTGATTGATGATTGAAAAACGTTACTCGTGCCTTTTTACAAATTCCTTATCACTTTCCCCTGATGAAGGCTGAAGTTTTAGCCGAAACGTTGGGACTTTTACAACAAATTTTTACTAACATTTTTACATTTTTTAAACCAGAGTAACGTTTTTCAATCATATTTCAATAGCATGTTTAGAAATTTTTGGAAAATCTCTGGTCAATGAAAAGATTCTGGCTTTCCATAACCCATTAATGTACACGCCACTAACAATCAGATCTCAATAACGGAAATTCTGTCATTCATGTCGTGCCGCAAAGCTAGAGACATACTTACTGGGACGTAAGAACAAGATACAGTCACTCACCGAAGTCCTTAAAGACAATTCTCCTTCCATCTTTAAAATCTTCAACCCTTCTTCAGCTCGTATCAGGCGTTCTCTCAGAGCACGCATTTCAGTGGTGTCTAATTCGCGCTGACGTTCAAACTCCCTCGACTCCTGCAGAAATCTTATCACCGCCTCGTCTTTTTCTTTCAGGACATCACTGTATCTCTGAGTGATCTCGTCTCTTTCCTTCCTGGCCTCTTCTCGCTCATTCATGGCTTTTCTCCTTTCCTCACCGTAAAAATCTCGCTGCTCTTGATACTTCTTCGTGAGGCGAGTGAGCTCGTCGTTTTGCTCTTTGAGGCTTTCCTCTCGTCGTTGAGAAACAGACAACTGGAATTGGAATTCTTGCATCTTCTTTCTGGTTAGTGAGCAATCTTCAGCAACACTTTCATAACTTTCTTGACATTGCTGTTTGTTTTTCTCCATAATATCGTAACGTGCCTTTAATGCGTCAGTCCGGCTTTTTAGCTCATTAAGCTCAGAAATAGCTTGGTCTTTCTCTATCTGTAGTTTCTGCGTGATAAACTGAAGCTCGTGATTGCGATTAGTTAGGTCTTCAGCTGTTCTGACACTGTTTTGCTGTAGCGCTATCGTTTCTGACAACATCAAGGACTGCCTTCGCGCTTGGTCAAAACTCTTCGACAACTCTCTTAGCTTGCAGGTCAACTCTTCATTCTTCTTCCTTCCTTCTTCCACTTGCTGTTCCGACGACAGTAACTTCATCAACAGAGCAAAACCTAAAGCATTCCACTCGCTCATGGCCTTCTCGTATTCTTTTATCTGAAAAGTTGCGGTTTCCTCGATTGTCTCAGCGTTGTAGCGTGCCTCTCTCGCCCTCTCCTCGGCTTTTATTATCTCTCTCTCCGAATACTGCAAGCGCTTAGACTTCAATTCCAGATCACTGGTTATTTTGCTGAGACTTTGGTTGAGCTGTCGGTTCTCTTTCAGCTGGTGGAGATACATGAGGCTCATCTCTTGTACATCCTTCAAAGCCCTTTTCAAGTGATTGCTAAGAATGTCCAAATCAAATTGGGGATGAACATCTACAAAACAAAATTAATTGCATTAAAATAAAATGTCGGGCTCTCTTGACCTCTTGTGTTCGTTGTATTGGTCTCTGAGACGGACAGAATAGCAATCAGATCCATCGAATTTAAAGACAGTATCATGATTTATGCTGTGTGTTTGATTAGTATACTGTCGTGATCATTGTACGTAAGCTATCCCCAATAAGTGATCTTTTCTACACAATGCTTTTCTTCACCTGGTGACATAAATGAAAACTGAGTGAATAATTGTCGGGGAAACATAAGTAGAAAACGCTAGACTTCTGATAATATGTTTTCTCTCGAAATCAGGCGGGAGTGTGAAGAGAGTAGGGACTGGGATGAGACAGGGTGCTGCTTTAACGGCCGTCAATCTACAGTCATGGTTTTTTTCTCGTCTCGCCCCAGCTCCTTCTCGTCCATGCCGCCCTCTTCGCGTTTGCGTCCGCGGATAACACTTGTCGGACCCTAAGAGAAAAGACCGACAACCAGAGGTCTAAAAACGCTGGGAGGTACCCTGCGATGAACTAGCATCCCACCCAGGGGGTATTGGCAGTACTCCTTGTCACTGTATGCTACTGGCCCAAACCGCTGAACCGGATTGAGGTTTGCCTTGGGCACAAGATTAAATTCATAAAGACTCAACCTTTTTTAACCACAGTGAAACATGCGACTATGCCCTGTTATTTTAGGCAACTAATAAGCGCTTAATGGCTGGCCCCAGGGGAAACAGTGAGTTTTGTTTCACCGAGACCCTTAATGTTTCCTGAGGTGAAGCCGAGGGGAGCATTGAGGTCGACGGGAAACAAAACTCACTGTTTCCCGCGGAGCCAGTCATTAAGTGTTTTGTTTTACCTCTCCTAAACTCAAAAATACAAAAAAAAAATGCAAAAAAATCATTTGCTTGGCGCCGGTTGGCACACAAATTCCCCGCAGTTTCAAGGAGCAGGACCTGATTACGTGCGAGTCGAAAGTTCAAGTTGTTGTTTCCCTAGAGAGTTAGTGAGTTTGTTCGCCCTGGGGAGTTAGGCCGCGTCCAAACGTATCCGGATATTTTTTAATCCGCAACTTTTAATTTTCTTTCCGGATTCAAAAATTTCCCCGTCCACACGTAGCGTATTCAAATCGAATTCGCCTGCCCACACGCATCCGATGGTATCCGGATTCCCTCCAGATAAACTAGGCCTGTTGGTTTATTGTTCGGTAAGAGACTGGACACGATTTTACTACGTCATCGGATTCGAAAATATCCGGATTCACTGTCAACCCGTTATCGGATTCGTTGCGGATTTATTTTTTTCCACTCTGGAGAGTGTATTCAAAAATATCCAGACACTTGTGAACGGGGCCTTAGTGAGTTTTGACCAACGACACGTGACACGTTCTCCTCCAATCGAAAAACTTATTTGAGTTGCGAGGTATAATAATCATGGTTATCGTGTCATCTTAAGTACAAGCAAGGTGAATAACGTGCTGCATTTTACCAGTGAAAGACTTGTCCCCGACGTCACTGAGTATGGGATTCTCTCCTATAATTAAAACGAACAAAACATTGTTAGCTCCAACGTGTAAAGGTAGTCTGGACATGAAGGCACAGTAATATATGCAAAAGTTTCTTTCAACTTGTCGTGCAACACTGTTGCATAAAAAGTCGAAAAGCATTATGCCTATAACAGGCTTGTTGCAAGTTGTGACAACGTGTTGCGGAAAGTTGAACCCATGTCTGCTTAAGAGGTGCGCGGTTCATGAATTAAAAGTGAAAAAGCTTTGCGCAACATGTTTCCGTGTAACTGAGCAAAATCATTTTTCAAAACCCTGGGGTATTAACCATCCTGTTCGCACAGAAATGCAGACATTTTGTTTAAAAATTAAAAAACCTTTTCCAGAAAGACTTCCTTTAAATTGTTTTTGTTCCCTCCATATAGAGCGCTCTTTCGCTGGCGTCCGTATTGTTCACGTTTTGCATGGTTAACACTCTACTTTACATTGCCTGATTTCAAGCCGAAAAGGACTAGGTATGAGTCTGTAAATTATGGGATTAGTAACTATTGATCCACATCCATAGAAAAAGCACACCGAGACTCACAAAATCCCCAGCTGGGTTTAATGTTAATATATCAGGCTAGTTTTGACTGAGATACAGCCATTTAAAAACGCCAAAATTATACAGAAATATTTGGTCATCCAGACACAACGTCCGGATGGCCATTTTTTTTTAAATGTTGAGGTTTTCAAATGGCTGTATCTTGCTTGCCATTAGGTCTAGTTGCACCAAACTTGGGGACTTTGTAAAGCTTGGTGTGCACTTTATGACTGTGGATCAGTAGCTGCTAATCTCATAATCTGAAGACTCGTACCTAGTCCTTTTCGGCTTGAAATCAGGCAATAGAGGCATAGTGCTAGATACGATCTGACTCAGACCATTTAAAGTGTTTGTGAAACTCATTAATAATTGCTGTAATTTTTAGCCATTTTGGAGGAGATGCTGTCTTTCAAAAACTGCACAAAAATTTCTGGGTGTCAAAAACGCTATGAGTCCATACATTCTTTGTAAAATATTGAGTTTTTCCAGGAGCCAATCCCGGGGCCTCTATCTCCCATACTAACCCTGTGAGTCAACCCTTTCCCGTATTTTTCTATTTTTAGTAACAGCTCTCGTGGGAGTTTTCACATGACCCCTATTCAATACCCAATTATACCCGAGCTAAGGCCATTCTTTGTTATAACAAAGACTGAAATCCCACTTTTGTTCCCTGTTTTGCATTTTCTATCTGTAGGAACAAGATATTTCGTGGGAAACCAAGAGACCCTTGCGGTTAATACAGTTCTAAAAATAGAATGATACGGGAAAGGGTTGACCCTACGTTACAGTGCGGATGGAGGCTCCTGGTTTTTCATGTTGTGTCGCACGAAACAGACGAAAGGTATTTCATGCATCGGGCTCAAGTTCCTTGGGACAGTTAATCGTGCCATGCCCATTCAATAATCAGAACAGGCCATTTTCGAGTGGCCTTTTGCCTCTGTATCAAAACGAGTCTTCACACGAAACCGTTCATATGAAAATGTGTTCCCCCTACAGGTTCTTTTTCGTGCAAATCAAACTAATTTTCTCATAAAACGTTTTGCACGAGGACTTGTTTTGAAACAGAGCCACAAGGCAACTCGGAAATGGCCTTTTGATATTTTTGTAGCTCAATCAAAAACTGAAGCGCTAAAATATTGTCGGTAAACAAAGATTCTACTATAGTTCCAAATACTGGTAACGCAACGCCGGCCGAACTGTCACACAATTTCAACTGTTTTCGTACATGACAATGATCTGTGAATGGGAAGTGCCGATCTCTCGAGCTTGGTCGTATCGTTTCGTCTGAGCAAAAACCCCTATAATTGCATTGTCAGTTCACAGCAGTTCACCATATATGGTCAGGCTGTCCTTATTATCTTTGTATCTCCAGTCATTTTAATAGACACAAATGTCCGGTGACGGATGTATGTAGTAGTATGCAAATTTTTGCTTTCGTTCTGGGCGAATTTCGAACACAGACTCATAGTCATAACGCGTTCGATTCTTTCCAAGAAACTAAGTCCAGTTCTACACCACAGCTAGCCATTCAGCTAGCCTCCTACACATACTGCTTTTCTATTTTTTTTTTTTTTTTTCACCGCGTACCCAAAAAATGTCTGGATGAGTCATGGGAGGCTAGCCTATAACAAGCACCCTGGGCGCGCCATTTTGTGTTACCTCGCTTACAATCGTTATTATCCCACGCAGACTCCTCTTGTGTTAGTCACATGTCAACTAGGATAGTATTACACTGAGCAATCACTAGATTCCTAACACAAAAAGAATTTGCTGACGGGAGCATAATAATCGAAAGGTTATTTACCTTGCAAGCGTGAATTTCTACGGTCAAGTAATGCATCCATCCGAAAGACATGAACAGTTTCCTTACACAAGTTAATATACTTGGCGTGGAAATGCTTGAAAGCTAGTAGCTAACTCTTCCGGTACAATTTAATAGCGGTAACGCTTCTCGTTTTAGTTATATTCTCTTCGTTTCCCATTGTACACATCTTGTTATTTCGGCCGTGGTTCTGTTCTCATAAAACACAATATATGGCTTACGTCTGCTAACAGAACGAGTAACTGTTTGGACAGCACATAATGAGCCTATTCCAGAGTTCACGCCATTGTAACACTTGCACAGCTCAAACTAACCATGATACATAATAAAGGTCACACTTACTAGCTGTAGCTTTCTGCCCCGTTAACTTCTCGTACAGGCCTGGATTTAGAAGCTGCAGAACATCTAGGAAATGTTCCACACCTTCTGTCCCTTTAGTTTCAAGAATGTCCAACAGCTTGCTAGCTTTGCGTTCGTTCGTCTTCTCAGCGTGCACAATCCCGCAATCCTCATTGTCGAAAACACCCTTACTACGCAAATAATCGTAGAGAATAGCTCGATCTACGCGTAGTTCCTGAACAATTTGAACTCGATGGCTTGTTAACTTCTCCCGCACTTCTTCCGCTGAAGAGTTCATCGCTTTATCTCGACAGGTTCACATTCTCTCATGGAAAATGCACACCACCATCAAGGGAGAGAATGTTTTTACAGCTACCAAAACATCCCTGCCATTCCTGATACGTTAGGACTATAAATATCTAATTTCTTGTAATCTCATCTCCGAAGATCTTTGACCCGACTTTGTTGTTTTATAGTTTTGACAATATTTCTAAAACAATATTTCTCCTCTGATTCTAAAACTTTCTTCCGGCCTCTGATTCCTGCAATCCTCTGTCCAGAATACAGAGAAAGTTTGAAGATTGCCCTGAATTTGAAGAGCTTTGAAGGTTTGTGAAGGAAAGAGATGAAACCGCTTGGAACTTCGCCTTTTTGTGTCCGTTTATTTTCACATTCGTAACCTTGGAAATGTCAGGGCGTGAACAGGAAGTGGAATAATTCGAAGAAACTTTTAAAATTCCAGCGCATGCGCCATGAATCACATGCTATACACGAGCTAGTCACCTGTTTCTTGAGTCAGAAAACTATCCATCGTCATGGTGTAATGAAATGCTAGGTTTTGCGTGCTAGTATAGTGGATGGGTGTCTGAAAAACCCGAATAGCGAATAGCGAATAGTACGAATAGTGCGAATAGTGGCGAGCAGTCTCGAATAGTGGCGAATAGTGGCAAATCGTGGCAAATTGTAGCAAATAGGGTACCCAGTATGTGGTTTCTGATTTCTTAACGTCGGCGATGGATAGCCCTAGCCTGAGTCCGGAGAAGAAAAGGTAATAAATTCACTGAAATTCTGTTGCTTATTTGGATAATTAATTAATGCAGGATATTAGATCTAAAGCGGTAACTATTGACGACTGTTCGTCACTATTCGCCACTTTTCGCGACTGTTCGCCACTATTCGCACTATTCGAGACTATTCACACTATCCGGAACTATTCGCTATTCGCTATTCGGGTTTTCCAGACACCGATAGTGGATAGTTTTAAAACGAGCAAAACATCCTCTCGGGGTGGGCCTTTTCTGTCATTTTAATGAGCATTGCTTAAAAAAAAAACATTCGTCATAGAAAGAGGAAACACTTGTAGAGTAACTTGCCATGGAAAGATCCAGGTGACGATATTGACAGTTAGACTGAATGGGATGCGATTAAAACCACAATCTATGACAAAAGCACACTTGTGAAATTTTTAAATGACGCACGTTAAAGAGTAATAAGTAGACAAGTGTTATTGTTTTAAGCTCTACACCTAAATCTCCAACGACAAATATCTGGAATGAGTTCAACTGTTAAAATCTGTTGACTAAGCTTTGCGTAAGGAAGTCGCTAATTTAAACCACACGCTCATGTTACAGACTATTTGCTGAACAACTTTGTTTCAGGTACAAGCTAACTGCGGTCAGTTGCTGAACCGGTTTGATTTTCATTCAGTTCTCATCAGGTATAACATAGCATTTGTACCAAGAGATGAGCTGGATGAGCGCCCATTATTGGTCATAATTAAGAAAAGAAACGAAACAATGCGGAAGATACTTTTGAGGGCCTCGCCAACTTTGAACACTCCAAATTTGGTCACTTTTCCTACAATTTCTCAGGGAAAACGCGATTGGTCGAGGAACTTGATATTCTTATAGCAACCGTATTTTGACGGCTTGTTTCTCAAATTAAGAATCTTTTTCTAATATTAAAGAGAAAATTTAGCTTTCTTGCAGTGACTTCTACTCTTTAGGTAACTTACACTTTCTTTATTGGCTTTCACTATTTTAAAGCCAGTTGTGTACTGATTTTCTAATGTTTTGAACAATCATGAAATCTAAGATGGCAGATCCAAGATGGCTGGTCTATGATTATAGTGACGTCATTACTACGTCATATGACGTCACCTTTTCATGTTATGTTCCTAGAAGGACATATTTTTCGCAGTGCTATTTTAACTCCAGGTTTCATTGTCATTGCCTCAATGCTCTCAATGTTACGAGGCAAGCGCCTCAAAAGCTCTCCCGTCCCAGCTAGCTAGCGCGCGAGTTCGTGAGTGTCTTCGTTTGGGCCGGCGAATAGCAATCGCGCACGTTATCCCGGGCCGCCAGCCAGGCAGGCTGCAGAAGACCAAACAAGCAGCTGTTTTCAAAAAGAAATAAGTGTGTCGTTTCCGGGATGATTTGGGTGTTGAGAAGTTTGGTTAGAACATATGGTTTTAACATACGCTGTACGAGAAGACCGAAGCGATCACTCATAATACAATAATAGATAGAACTCCTTTTGAACCCTAGCCTTTTTGGCAGGTTTGCTTTTCAACATAATAATTTTATACGTGCATACCAAGCGTTATTCCTTATTTTCGTACCAGGGAGCGGTGGAAATTTTGAACCAAGCCAGATTGTGTTACGACCTACTGAGTTTTTAGCGCACCTTTTTCTCCGTGTTTACATGACATATAACACAGCGCCCGCATATAATTGCGTCAAACTGTCGCTAGGGTTGTTTGTAACACTTTTAAACCTAAACACTGACCTGACCATTTATTCCAAAAGGAAGTAGACGCTAGCTGAAAGACGATCCAAACACTTGTCATGTCGTCCGTACATTATTTACATCACGTACAAACGTTTCGACGAAAGAGCCAAGTACTCTTTCAGCTGACCGTTTCCGGAAAGTTCACACAGTGAGACAAGCTGTTCCGTTGTCTGAAAGAGAAACACAGCTATACGGTTTATTATCATTTTGCTCAAAGTGTTACTTTGCATAAGGTGGTATGTGCACGGCGGCCATGCGACGCTGTTATGAACGAAAGGGAACGGTGGTATTTGTGACTGAGACGTTATTATCTACGAAATAACTTCTTCCATCATGAATTACAGTCTATGTGTGTACAGTAATGAGAATACAGGTGTCGATCAGTGACTTTGAATTTATTGTCACGTCCAAACAAGGTAAACTTGGGAACTTGGTGAAATCCCGCGGTAATCACAAAATGAAAGATGAACAAGTATAGCAAACAAGTTTCCCCTCATTCTCCTCACTTTTGAATCCTAAATTATGAAGAAAGCCAATTTCCTTGAGTGGTCTTGGTCGGTGTTTGACGCCTTCCTTTTAAAAAGAGATATGGTGTATCGCTACCTTGGCTTGTTTACCCGAGCCGGCTTTTTCAGTCGTTTTGGTCTGAAGTTAGGGTAGATTATGACCATTTTTGGTCTAAAATAGATTCTTGTCTAGAATTGTGTCTAGTTTCTACAATGTAAAAGAAACAAAAACAAATGTTAACAAATTTCAACGGAAACTATTTTGGGTATCAGGAACACTCATGCAAATGACTATTTTTAGTCTGAAACAGGCTAACGCTACGTGTGGGCATGAACGGCAAGCTTGCAACCGGTCTAGAATGGGATGGGAAAATCACGTACATTAGTCTGAACTTTGGCAAGGGTTTGAAGGAACGAGTCGTTCGCCCGCACCAAAAATCTCGGGGAGTCTTTCCCTCTCCGTCCCTAGGGGCGACCATTTATGCGTAGCTGTTGTACAGCCATCCTCTCCGAAAGAAAAACTCAAAGATGGGCGTTTAACGACGGGGAGGGGATTTTCGATTCCTTTTTTTTCAAGACTCAGAGGGCCGTACCGTATATGGGGAAAATAAAAAGTAACAAAACACACTACTGTTTGGGAATCCAATGAAAAACCAGTGAACTGAATTTTTTTCTTTTGCCTCGAATAAGGCAACTTTTCCGTCAGGAAATTCACGTAATTTCTGTGGAGCTGAGGCGGTCTGGAAATGAAAAAATAGCACAGTGTGCCAGAAAATCAACTATACAGACCCACAGTCGACTTTTCTTTCCAATGCAAGATCAATGTCTTCCTGAAACTTATTACAGTGCTGAAAAGGAACGAAAAAAACTGAACCTGTCTGAGGATAAAAAGAAGAACAGCGTCAAAAAATCGAATAAATGTGAATTGGAAACCCTCGTAATTGACGTAATTGACTTCGTCAAAGGTGCACTTTACTTTTGCTTGTGTTGTTGTTGGGCCATTTGTTGTCCACTGTTTATTGTTCCAAGTATCTTTACTTGTCCACGTAGGTCTGCAAACCTCATCAGTAGTTTTACTTTAACTCAATATCAACCCAAGTAATTCACGCTGATTTCCACCAGAATTACCCTTTTTGATTACATCTTCGACAATGGGGTTTCCCCTGTATCCCATTTTCAGTGGTTATTTTTGGACATTTATCAGATCCGGATACCTGGCAAATCGCGTGCAAGGCAAACATGCAAAACATTATTTAACTACAAAAAATAATTTAGTAACAACTTTAAAAACTTCTCTGAAAATCAAGGGAGCTTGCAAACAAGGAACAAATACATAATACGTGATTTCAGCCCAAAAGCGGAAACAGTAGCCTTTCTTAGCAGCCGAATTCTGATGCTCTTTTTTTTTTAATTTTAAATAGATAAACAATTGCTGAACAAATCCTTTCTTTGTCTCGTTTTCCAAGAAGCTCGTCGGTCAAACAAAACTTCCGGTCATGTCTGAAAACACGGAATTTTATGTTGAGAGATGTGTTGAAAAAATGCAAATAGTTTTAATCAAAGTGTTGTACATTCAGTATGTTACGCGTAGCGTGTCACCAATGAACTCCCACGCTATTGAAAGCAGGTAATAAAGTTTGTGTCGCGTTTTTAATTCTCATTTGCCACCCCCTAAAGGTTATCCCAACATTTGCCACACTCTGTTTCAGATACTAGAACCTGTGCCCAGTTTCAGTCTTGAATGTCCCTTCTATACAATCTATAGCATCCTTCCCTCTTCATATTAATTCCCCGTTTCCAGTTTCAGCCTTGGTATGATATCCGCCGGTCGATTTGTCTGAAGATGTTGAAATATCCTTATTATGTAACGCACATTTTTGTGTAGCAGTCCCTTTAAAAATGTACCCCATTTCAGAACAGAACAGTTCAAAAATCATTCCCTTTGGGACAGCACATTTCTCTTTAGCGCTTGTAGACATGATAGAGAAATACTACCACCGACCACTGAGCGCCTGAAACAGTTTAGAGAACTTGCGACTCAATCACTGTCACGTTACGCCCCAGTAGTTCGACTTCCTGTTGAACGTGAGATGATATTTAAGCGCACGGTCATTCGAGCTCCCGTAATTTTGACGCTTAAGCATTTTGCTGAGTATGGACATGGTAGAGGAAACCTTTGAAGATATTTTGGAGAGGAACCGGGTGGAAATTGTGCAATGTTTGCAGCTAGATCGCACGTTTTTGTTCGACTATCTCCGCAGCAAAGCTGTCTTCGACATCGGTGATTGCGATCTCGTGCACTCGGAGAGAACTCGTGAACAGAAAGCTGGCAAATTACTCGACATTCTTATGACCAAAGGAGATGAGGGCTATTCGCATTTCGTCGACGCCATCCAACTTTTGAATCCGCATTTGTTTGAGAAGATGACAGGGGAAAAAGCCACTGCAAGTGAGTAGTCGGTTACGTGTCTACAGGGAGAAACAAAATTTGTGTTGCCATTTGTATTATAATGCTAGATCAAGTGAATAGAAATACGTTCGTGACTTGATAATCAAATGCGATGTCGAGATTCTAACGTCTAAACATTCTGATCTGAGCCGGGGACTTAAATTTATTTGCCAAGCTGACATTATTAGCTTTCATCGGAGATCTCGCGTGTGTGTGTATGTGTAGGGTTGGGTGCCACCATTGTCACAAATCATTACCTTAGGCATTTAATCTTATATCGTGTGATATTGTTGCGTTTTTAAAAAATCACAACAACGAAAATTTTTAAACTTCAACCGGATACGTTCACAAAAACAGATCTCTAGTAGTATACTATTCTGACGATAGCTGAAACATGTACAGTTAAAAACACCAAGAGTTGATTTGCAGTGTAGGTGTAAATTAAAGCATTCGAACTTTCCTTTTATGTCACGCCACTTGAGATAAGAAAACGTGTGCGTTCAGATGCAAGCTAATGCAGCGATCGCTCTTTTTGCAGTAGCTCTGAATTTTGGTAGAGTTTCATGTAATTAATTTCCGAGACGGAGAGGGGTTGTGTTGTTGCTTGCTACACGCACTATATTTAGCTGTTGAAGAGTATAAACTGATAAAAGTAGAGTGGAGTTATTTTAATACCTATGGTTACCTGTGTAAACAAAAAAACAGTACTTGCAGATTTGACGTCAAAATGATGTTTTCTTTTGCTTTTAATCATCAGTTAAACAAAAGAACAAGGGATCTAACTAATTTTATATGTAAATTTAGCTGTTGAAGAGTAACTTAAGACGTTATAACGCCTATGATAACGTGTATAAAAAAATATAGCTGCCGTATTTTGCAGATTTGACGTCAAAATGATTTTTTCTTTTGCTTTTGATCATCAGTTAAACAAAAGAACAAGGGATCTAACTAATTTTATATATAAATTTAGCTGTTGAAGAGTAACTTAAGACGTTATGACGCCTATGATTACGTGTATAAAAAATATAACTGCCGTATTTTGCAGATTTGACGTCAAAATGATTTTTTCTTTTGCTTTTGATCATCAGTTAAACAAAAGAACAAGGGATCTAACTAATTTTATATATAAATTTAGCCGTTGAAGAGTAACTTAAGAGGTTATAACGCCTATGATTACGTGTATAAAAAAATATAGCTGCCGTATTTTGCAGATTTGACGTCAAAATGATTTTTTCTTTTGCTTTTGATCATCAGTTGAACAAAAGAACAAGGGATCTAACTAATTTTATATATAAATTTAGCTGTTGAAGAGTAACTTAAGAGGTTATAACGCCTATGATTACGTGTATAAAAAAAATATAGCTGCCGTATTTTGCAGATTTGACGTCAAAATGATTTTTTCTTTTGCTTTTCAACAAAAAACAACAAATCTACGTACCAAGGAATTAAAGTTTAACTACCTGAAGTATTGATATAGGCTGGATTTATCTACTCACTGAAAGATAAACACTAAAAATAAAGCAGACATATTGTTAGTCCTCTACTTATAATAAGTGAAAAGGGCCATTTCTGATATTTGTTCTTGATGTAATATACCTCTCAGACGTATCATATGACGAGTTTCAAGAAAAAAAACACTGCTCAAAAAGCAAAATAAATGTTTTTAAAACAGCATTTCAGATTAGCTTTAAGCAGCTACACAGCCTTTTCCTGAAATGAGATATACCTCCCTCTAAGAGTTGATAGAAAAAGTAGGACTGCAACCAGACAAAACATTTTTACGGTGGCAATATCAGAAAAAAAATACTTGTGTGGTTATTTGTTTTTTAATACATAGCCTGTTACAAGAAGCTGCAATAAATTAATGAATTTTCTTATCTTTTTCTGCAGCAAGTGCTTCAGTGTGCTTTTTGCTAGCTTTGAGTCCTTAAAGCGTATTTGACAGATATTCTTTTATTTGCTTGATGGAATTTATATGAGAACGTGATGTGGAAATCGAAAGAAAAAAAGATGGATATTGTCATATTTTCACCATCTGAAAATGTGAAATTTCACTTCCTGTTGGGTCAGAAACCGCTGGGGGTTTGGACCTGGGACTAGTCAGGCCGTAACATCAAAACAAGAATGTAGGTCTACTTATTTCTAGAACCAAACAAATCAAGGCAATCAAGCACTATTCAAATTTTGGTTCAAAATTGTACACATTTACAAAAAAAATTTTCCACCAGTCAACTCAACAGCTACTAACAAATTATCAGAGTTGGAAATATTCCTTGAAACAACTGGAGTTACAGACCTTAAAATGATAAGATATATATGATTTATTTTTTTGGCAGCAATTTCCTGATGTATTAATAGCAGCTTTGGGCTGTAACTAGAGGTATTTTCTGTCTAAAATGCTAAAATGGTATTTCCTCAAAACTTCTCATTTCATTTTGATGAAGGAAGTTTAATGCCTAGCAAGTATCTGTAGGTTTAAGTTCAAGATAGACACTTGGCTACTTCTGTCATTTTTCATTGGAATGTAAATCTTGGTTGACGGCAATCATTGCATTTCATGTGATTATAATAACATGGAGAACCATGTAGCATACTAATTTTACTATAAATTTGATCATCAAATTAACAAACAAATACTACAATAGGAAGTAACAGTGATTATCATTTTGAAAGAAAAAAATGAATATTCATTTTTAAGGTTACCATATAAGTTCTGGGGTGTCTCCAGCATTAAACATAATTATGGCAGGGGAGTAACAACCATATATATATGTACACACGTGCATATTTCCTCTGGAGATCCATTTAAATATATCTACAGTGGAACCCCATTTATTGGGTCACCAAAGTGCCACAAAAATTTGGTTGAATTAACAGAGTGGCCATATCAAAGGATTCTTTAAATAAGAAAATGACTGACTGAGCTTTTGTTTGGGCCAGAATAAAGTGGCCCTGATTGCCAGGATGGCCGTAAGGTAGGGTTCCACTGTATTGGCGAAAAATATGTTTTAACAATCAGCTGGTTTGACAGTCTCTAGTCTCTCCTATAATTTGAACCTAGTGTTAATTAAGTTCCTAAATCTTCAACATTTTTCCATGTTTTGTTTTATGAAACTGTACCCTGGATAACAATTTCCTGGAGGGACATGCCCCGTTGGCTCTCTTTTGTGCATACTCCATGATGCATCCAAAATATATCACACAGGTTTATTAACCCTACCTAAAATTAAAGCTTACAAAATTGGCTACCATAATATTCAAATAACTACATATTTTGTTGAACCTAAATTTTCTGTGCAATTTTCCAGTCAACTCTCTATGTGACCTCTCTATGATTTTATCATTTTGCTGGACTGATCTTTTGCATGATCTTTTGCAGTAATCACCATCAAAGATGGTAAACGTCTTTCTTAATGGGGTTTTCCAATATGAAAGAATTGGCTCATGCTTAGTGTGCATATATTGAGTTATGGATGCATGCAGGAAGTTTGGAAAGCACAAAAGAAGCGTAAGAGCAACTCTAGCCTCTTGAGTGCTCTCCAAACTTCCCAAGTGCATCCATAACTCGATATATGCACAGCTTAAAGCATGAACCAATTCTTTCATAACATGGCAAAAACAACTTGGGTGCTAAAACAAATTTATTTGTGAATGACTACAAAGTTCTCACAATGCACAGTAAGGAAAACAAAGGTCATTAGGATCCTAACACGCCACAATCAGTTGAACAACAGTTGAACAGAAACGCTTAACCTGGTTTCTAAAATTGTCAATGAAAAAGTCGCATCCTGAATTAATTATAATGAAAATCTAGGTGAACAAAGCCAAAAATACTCAATGAAAATGTAAACAATGTCAAAATACTCAAGTTTAGGTAAACGTCTCAGTCAGGCAAAAGTCAAAGGCTCAAAGTGGAGTTTAGATTGTTGAGAATAATCTTCACGTTGCCAAAACTTAAACAAAAGGAACTTGCATTAAACTCGACAGAGATTTTGCAGCTAAATTGAAACTGTACATGTCATCTTATATACACACAGCCATGCGTACATAGAGATTTTGTTCATGATGGCTTAATAGGAATTAGATAGGACTAGAGTGCATGTTATGTTATAATAATTTTTTATTCCACTAAAACAATATGCACAATCTATAAATTGAGGGTAAAACAGGGGTTTCATTAATGTTTTCAGTAGGTGGGAAACTGGTTGTCACTGGCAGGGAAAACCTGGTTTGGCCCCTAAATGGCCAAACCAGGCAGGCATAACCATCCTCTTAGTTTGTCAATTTGCCCAGTGTCCAGCCTTTAATGAAACCCTGTAAAAGAACTGGAGTGATTGCATGGGAATTCCTTTAACAGTTTACCATGAAAGTTAAATAGAAATTCTAGAATTTCATTTTTTCCACTAATATGTTAATCTTCATTGTATCTTCAAATTTTACTAAGTTACGACAAATTCCCTCTGAGATCTAACGGTTTAAAAACACCTCCCATGTGCCTGAATTATGTTTCACACCTCATTTACACCTCTCTTCTGATAAAAATCTCCAGCACTTTTATTTCTTTATTTCCATAGACTTTTTTTGAAAAAAAAAATGTTTATTTTGCCCACTGAAACTATGTGGTGTCTGTAAACAAGCTGGCATCATCATCATCATCTAAATTTCCATTTGTTTTCCTCTTTTGTTACAGGACCAAGCCCTCTCATGATTGGAAGAGAAAACTTCTTTTTAGGTAAGGCAGTTTCCTAAAAAATTATGACTTTTAATACTTTTTTAAATATTCTTTTATACATGCCACATCCAAACTGCTGTGTTTTAAAAATGAATAAGAAGTTTAAAATATAACTGAACACAAGAGATCTCTTAAGTAAACTGACTCAAATTTTATAACAAAGCGCACATGCTAGTCATACCTAATTCCTATTGAGCCATCATGAATGAAATCTCTGTATATGCACGGCCACACATATATAACATGACGTATGCATTTTCAATTTTGCTGAAAATTTTCCATCGAGTTTAATTAGTGCAAGCTCCTTTTGTTCAACGAAGATTATTCTGAACAATCCAAACCCTACATGTATTTCAAACCTTTGAGTTTTGCGAAGCTAAGATGTTTATGTAAACTTGAGTATTTTCACTTTGTTTTTCTATACTTTTTCATTAGAATTAATTCGGAGAAGCAAATTTTTCATTGACAATTTTAGAAATCAAGTGAGCATTTTGCTTCAAATATTGCTCAACCGATTCTGGCGTGTTAGGATCCTAATGACCTTTGTTTTCCTTCACTGTGCATTGTGAGAACTTTTTAGTCAATCACAAATAAAACATGTTTTAGCAGCCAATATGTTGTCACCATGTTACAGAAGAATTGGTTCATGCTTTTAGCTGTGTGTATATCAAGTTATGGATGCACTTGGGAAGTTTGGAGAGCATTCAAGAAGCTAGAGTTGCTCTTGGCTATCACCTCGAGCATCTCTTATGCTTCTTTTGTGCTCCCCAAACTTCCAGCATGCATCCATAACTCGATACGCAAGCTAAGCTCAAACCAATTCTTTATAGGTAGTTGGCAGATCCAGGGAGGAGCCACAGGCTCTCTAGTCCCATCAATACATCCCTTCAGTGTAGCTCCACCCTGGCTCTGAAAATTTAAAGTAATGTCAACTGAAAGAAATAAGAAATTTTTCGGTCAGTGCTAAATCTTTTTATAACTTTGGTTTAAGTTTCAATGATCACTGTAAGTTATAGTAAATCATGGCTTGTAGCCATATATAGCCGACCACAAGAAAATGCTGCTATTTGAAAAAAATCATGTGTTGCCACCTCTTGTAAAGGACTGCAAGAAGATACAGAGGAATTTAATTTACTTGTCAAAAGTAGCTTACTTTTCAGCCTGGCTTGGTAGCAGGGTTCCTCTTCACTTAATAGCCTCAAATATAAAGGGCAAGACATAATAGGCCTTTTTCGATATATTAAAATTTTCAGATGGCTCAGAGGCTTGGGGGAGTAAAACAAAAGAAATCACATCAAGGTTGAAGGATGAACAATTAATTTCCTTTGTTAATTAATTTCCCCCAAGGCTCGGAGCCATATTAGAATTTTAATATATGGAAAATGTCTTATGCCTGCATCAGTTTACAAATTTGGCAAAATTTTCAGAGACAACTAAAAAATAATGGGGAACCTTCCATTGGCTCAAACTGCTCTTGCAATGATTTCTCTCTGTTGTCTTACATTTGCTTGAACGGCACTACTTCAAAACATGCTTTCATTTCCACTGAACAACAGTGTAACAAGCAAAGTTCAGCAATGCTTTTCTTTAAGATCAATAGTTCAGTATTTTTGTCATTCAGAAAGAACAGCAACATTTTTATGAGTGCTCCATACGTCCTCAGAGATAGAAAAAGAATTCTTATTGGTTGTTACTAAACAATCAGAAACCACATATACTGAGATTTTACTGAGATAATTTCTGCTCGCAAGTATCAAGTTCTTTTGTAAATTATGTCAAATTTGCGACTGCATACTGTAACAGTTTGCAGTTATGGACTTTCAACATTTAATAATATTTCAGTAAGCTTTTTAATATTAAAATTAAACGGTCATGTCTCACTTCTTTTTAATTCATAGCTTTTTTACTCACTACCCTATCCCTTTCACAAATGACTGACTGAATCCCTAGTTTGGCTTTCTTATGTGAAAAACGGCTAGTTCAAAAGAAAGCAAAAGGAAAATACCCAACCTTATAAAGGCTGAATTCGGCAACTCTGTATACTCCAGATGAAAAGATCATTGAGCCCACAGCATGGCTTCATAGTGTCAGTGACATTGCCTTACCCATGCCTGGCAACGTGCAGTTTTCTATGTATAATGCGAGTTTGTAGAAGAACTCTGTATAAAACAAGGACACTTCAGTGTAACCTCGTTCTAACGCGCTGCTCCCCAGTCTCCCCAGGGGTTTTCGTGTTTCGCGCATCTCGTCTAGAGAGCCGCCAGTCCCTCTTAGCCAGCGGGGCTTTGGCAAGAAGAAAGGTCGCTCTGGAGGGCCTCTGGAGGAGCTCTGGAGAGCTCTGGAGGACTGGAGACACACGATTTTACTAGCTAGGTTCTCACTACTTCAACTCCTCGCGAAAAGATGATTGGTTGATATCTAACTAAAACCGTTTGATCACAGCATCTTCAGATCTTTAGGGCACCCTCCATAACAAAAGATATGTACACCGCTTCGGTCAGAAGTTTACTCCTGATTTAAATTCGCTTTGTTGAAATTCAGGGGATTCCTCATATTTGCATTGCGCATCCTTACTGCGCATAATTTATGGCGTCACTAGCGTGCGCTCGTCCACGCGCACATTGAAAACATGGCCGATTTGCCTTGATATTGAGTTCTGTCAGTTAAAAAATGGCCATAGCTCAGTAACGAGCTCGGGCACCCCAATTTTTTTCCAGTCGTTTTAATCAACTAATCATTAGCTTTGCGTGAGAAAAGACTGATCTTATTTCTATTGCTGAAAATTGAAGAAATAAGGAAAATAGCAGTTGAGCTGTAGTCTTTTCTATTTTGCAGTTTGATAGCCGTGGCAAGCAATTTGGTACCAGTATTTTAATAAGGATTCAGCTGTCTGTCAAAATCAAAATTAAAAAGTTTATTTTTGTCCGGCACAAGTATTGACTGTAGTTTGAGGCGCGTTTTCATGAGTGTGGGCTCACAAAGATTTTACAATAACATGGAATGCGTTCCTGTAATAAGCATTAAATAATGCCAAAATGGGACATTTTCAATGCCTCACTGCTCCTTAACAAGCATTGACACCCCCCCCCCCTTTTTATTTTATAATCAAAGTTTTCATTTGATAAATATTCAGTGGACAAAGTTTGAACAAAAATCTATTGACAGTTTTATTGAGGGGAATGACCTTAAGGTGTATTGGTTTTTAGTTTTCATAAACTGAGCACGGATGATTTCAACTGGATAGTCGTGCGAAATTAAAATTTTCTTCTTCTTGTAATATTTCAGCGGAACAACGATGAAGCAAAGTTTTAAGACTTTTAAGCTTGCGTTCGATCCAGTGAAATCAAAAATTAGCTACGCACAGAGCGTTTAAACAATTATTTCGAGTAAACAACTGATTGAATTATCTTGGGAATAGTCTGAGGGTTCACAACTGCCTCAACCTGCTTTGGCAATATTGCGATTTAGTCCTTCATCAAGACAAGGGAACAACGAAAAAAATGTTGGCCAAGGCCTCGTCCACACTACGCCAGAAGAATTTGAAAGCGGAGGTTTCACGCTGAAAACGCATCATATGTTTTCCGTCCACACTGCGCCGGAGGAATTTAAAAGCGCAACAATCACCGGTCATTTTGGATTTGCGTTTGAGGAAAACTCGGTCAGGGAAATCACACGGTTATCGTGATGCCATCGTTTTCGTGAAGCTCCGTTTTCAAAATGTTTTCTGTCCACACGAAAACGAAAAGCTGGCGTTTTCAAATTCTTCCGGTTTGGAGAGCGTTTTTGAAAAGCTCCGTTTTCTTGACAGATTAGTGTGGACGATAGGCCTAACAGTATATAGCCACTATATAAATTAAGCTGCGTTTTCAAATTTCCCTGGCGCAGTGTGGACTGGGCCTAAGAGGGGGTGTGGCGGAAGACAGGAAGTTGGTCTGTAAGCTATTAACGTTTCCTTTGTGGCAACTATGACCACCTGAAGTTCAAAACAATTCACCTTACAAAGCGTTCACATTCCTTTGCGCTACAGGTCGAGGACTCTTTGTTCAGATTTGTCGTTTGATTTTATAAACTCCCTGTGTCGTCGGCAACATCTGTGTTTACCTATACGGTCTATCCGACTAATCTCCAATTTTAAATACAATTGATAACGTAATATATTGTGATACGACACATTTTGGAGCGAAAAAGGGCGCCAAACGAGCTAAAGCAGATATGATAAGATATCAGTACTCATCTGAGTGCCACTGAACGCGCAGAGTGGAACACACTTGATTTTGGAACAGGAAAATGTTTATAATACCATAAACGATTTTTTTCGTGGTGTGATAAGGCTGGACAGTTTTGCTCGTCAATTTTCAATTTTCTTCTATTTCTAGATCCTCTCCATAAATTGTAAGTAAAAAGTGTTCAAAGTCTGGGCCCATGTACGCGAAACTCCGCACGAGCTATTTGAGATAAAAAAAAGGTTATTTGACTAGGTTGAAGTGTAAATGGGTCTTTTAACGAGTGGAAGACTATTTTATTACAGTGTCTGTCTCTGCAAACTTGTTTGTTTAGCGAAGCTTAAATCCGGGCCTCTCAGGAACCTAGCCGAAACCTGTTTATTATGCGATCATTTTAAAACGCAATGCCGAATTCAAATTTACAGTTATTTAAACCGATACAAACGGTAGATGAGAACATTTTTTCCTATTAAGAGGCGCTTCCACCCAAGTTTGCTTATAGTTGTTAGTTCCTGTAAGTCGCTTAATTATATTCTGACGCACACCCGCGGCATAACCTTTTAGGGGGTTTTTACCTCCTTAAAAGTTTCGCCATCCGGTTAGGTGATCAAAACATTTTCTGTGTTCCTGTGTGCGACTTGAAAGCGGGTTCACTTTCGACTGGGGCGAAACAAATCTCATCAGTTCAGTTTTTATATTTGTGTGTTACCAGGATCAAATGGCCGAGCTCCAGACTTAGATATTATGAGCAACCACTTGGTAAGAATCACCACAGACCTACAAGATCTGACAATCCGTTACGACACAGTGTTGAAAGACAACGAAGCGCTGGAGAAGCAGCTGAAAAGAACGTCTTTTGAACTGCTGGAGAAAAACAGGCTGATTGATGAACTAGAAAAGCGAAAGTTCGACACAGAGGCTTTGTTAATGGAATCGCATTCTAGCGCTAAGAAGATGGCCGAAGGCGCTGCCCTCCAATGCCAGGTCCGAAATCGAGAAATGGTGGAGAGGACTCATTTCATAATCGCGCTTCAAATGAAGCTACTCACCACCAAAGAGGAAGTGGACGAGCTGAAGAAGAAACTAGAGGAAAGCAACCAGGAGAAGACCCAGCTGTTGGATCGCTTCAAGCAGATTTCCAAAAACTACGACAACCAGAGACGCGAGTCCATGAAGTTGACCGAGAAACTTGAACACCAGAAAGATAACATTCAAAAGGCCGAGGAGATCAAAATGAAATTTCGCCAGATCCAGTTCAGCAACCAAAAGCTCAAAGCGGAAAAAGACGAAGCTGTGAAGGAGTTGGAAGAGCTCAAACGTTGGACGGAGGCACTGAAAGCCCGGTACGACATCGTGGAAGAAGACAGAAAGCAGACGCAGGAGAGCCACGAGATTACCGTGGCTGATTTCTCGGATCTCCGAGACAGAGCTGATGAGCTGGAACTGAGACTGACGATATCCGCGCGCGAGATAAATGACTTGAAGAAGCGATGCAAGGACTTGGAACAGACGGCCAACACCTACCGGGAACAGAGGGATCTGTACGAGAAAGCGTGGAAGGACACCTCGGCGGAAAGAGAGCAACTTAGAAAGGATAGGGAAGATACTGCTGCGCAGTTGGCGGAAGTTATTCGCAGTCGAGACGAAGCCATCAACAGGCAGATGGAATACAGCCGGCAGTTTGAGGTGCAGCTCAAGAAAACCACTGAAGAACTTCGCGCTGTTCGAGAACGCCTCTATCAGACAGAATTGGAGATGGAAGATTTAAGAAAGACTAAGCTTCAGAGAAACCCGTCCGATGTTGATGACGACCATCCTTTCACTGAGAAGATTGCTAAGGTTAGTGAAGAATACATTTTATTTATGCATTCTCTAAGTGAAATACCGCTTTCTTTCATTGTTCTGGGGGCTTTTTCCTAGCACAGGAAGCCGCAGCGAATGCTAATTAATCAGTTCAGTTTGTTTGCAATCTTTCAGTTTATAGAGAAAATAGATAGATCTTCAAACAAGAACAGTTCTTGCACTTTGAACAGAAAGCATCGTATCCAATAATTGAAAGGCAGGACATGCCGGGACTTAAGGTCGTTCCATTGAAATTGAACCTGCACTGAGATTTTTGTGAAACTTTGCCTATTGATTGTTTATGTTATAGGAACGTAAATTTTGAAAAAAAAATGAGGGGGTCCCCCTGTTCGTTTAGGAGCAACAGCACCTTGTTTACACTCATATAAATCCTAAAAATAGCACCATGATTGTAGTCACGATTGCTTGCTAAATTCATGTTTCCGNGTCCATATTTATTTTACACAGAGAAATTTATTACTCAATTCAAAACAACAGAAAAAAATGATAGGTCACCATACTCGTTTGCGAGAAAATGACGATTTAACTCTATGGCGAGGTCCAGCTGTAAACAAAAAGCCGCCATTTTTTAATGCGCGCGCGCTAATCACGCGTGAAATTATGAGCAGTAGGGATACGCAATGCAATACTGGGGAATGACCTTAACTCAGGAAAAGTTAACGGTTTTTTCCTCGTTCTTCCGATTAGCACCCCAGGTGTTCCGAGGTGTCTCGAGGTAACGTCGTTAATCACTAGTAACATTTCTGGTACCTTAATAACTCCAAACACTGATGATCAATTTAAGAGGCATTTCCGAAACCCGAAATAAAAATTTACTTGAGCAATAGAGGATCATAAACCGACATTTACTAGAAGTTCGTCGAGAGTTAACAGTGGTCATGTAAGAATGGCAGAACCGTGCAACGTTATTTTTAATGAAACGGTTGCGAGGAAACAAAGTGTTCCAGAAACAAAGAAACAGGAAAAGATATGAGCACAACAAAAGCGAGCGACTTCTTATAGCTAAGGCCAGACAAATTAGAAACGCAATATCAAGGTTTGGACTAACTTTGAAAATACAAGAGGAAACCTCGGTTTCGTCACCGATGCAATATCACTGAGTTAAGCTTTTACTATAAATGTAGGTGAGGTGGGGGGTGGTCATAATTTTTAGGAGATGAGGAGTGGAGTCGGAGCTAAACTTGCCTTTGTTGTCAGGGGACACTACATAATATTTCCCGTTCCTCCTGATAACTACTGCACAATTTCTTAAGCTATAATTTCATTCGGTTATTCGTCGACTGGTGACAAAGGTAGCTAATTTCCGCTCAGGTTTTGTATGCCGTGTAGCGTAGCATCAGCCAGACGGGTAGATAAGAGGGAGTTTGGGAAAGGTGAGGCCGAGAAAATGTAAAATCTACTCGGTGGAAAGTATTTACCATGTGTTGGGTCTTATTGCTAATCTGACAACGTAGCACTTTTCTCATTTTCGACAGAGAAATGGTATAAACTTACTCCTGGACACTGGAAAAGCCAAGGAGGCCAAACTGGACGGGAGTGTTGACCCCGAAGAGGACTCGCCTGGTAACAGTAGTGAAGATTCTTATGACTGGAAATTGCGACGCACGACCTCTAAAGTCATAGAGAGTGTCAAAAAGCGGGTTGCCCCGAAGAAATCTCCAGCCGTGGACAGAGGAGATGGCGAAGAAGAGGAAGCCTCGAGCTCAACAGCACTTCACGGGCGTCCTGAAAAGAGCTTGTCGTTGGACGAGAAACTGGGGGAGCTTTGTCCAGAAGTTAAGAGCCTCTCGCTTGAAACCCAGAAATGCTTGAGCATGGATCGTAACAGGTCTCTGTTTAAGAGCCCTCCAACGTACACTACACTGGAGTATATGTTTGGCTCGTCCGTTAGTAACACTGCCTCGGCGTTGTACAACCCCTTCGACGGCAACAATTCTCTGTACTCCTCGTTTCGTTCCAGTGATAGTGGTTTTCCCAGTCTGCCATCGAGAAATCTCTCCGATTCCGCAAAATCAGCGCCAGATTTCTCGATCAGCCTGGAATCTGATACGTTTGAGCCGGCAGCCAATGACGATCCCAAAGTTGACGAAAACCCGAAGGAATCCGACAAAAGCCGACAAAAGTCACGGTCCCACGAGAGTCCAACCCGACCTCCTTACTACAAAAGCATTTCTTCTCCGTCAAAGATAATGAACTTTGTGACAAGCAAGGTGTCTCTGGGGAGTCGTTCATCTGAAGAGAGGTCTTCTTTGAGGGATGAAAACAAAACTGACGGCCCAGGAGAGCAAACTCGTCGCAAGTTCAAAGATGCCGCCAGCAACCCTTCAAATAAGGGCATCTCAAAACTGCTAGCGAATTCCCTTTTCCTCTCCACGGATGACGCAAAAGAGGAGGATGAAAGAGTGCAGAAGGAAATGGAAGAAGTAGCAGAGGCTCTTATGTCTCCGACGCTTAAAAAACCTTTTCGTGAGAGGTCCGGAGCAGTGACCGCGGAAGAGAGAGCTCGGAGCTCCTCAGCACCCAGTTCCCCCGGGTTTGATTTCAATTTGCCGGAAGTCGATGTTCAGAGTAGTACATCTGGCTGATTTCCGCCGCCTGAATCATTGAGTTAGTTCAAAATGACGTTAGCGGAAAAATAGGAGTATGCATTTGCAATAAGAGCTGTACTGGTAAACAGAGCGTTATTTTTAGCTCCTAGTTTAATTAGTCTGGCAGAGTGCAAATGAACAAGGCTCTGGGCATGTGCGCGCGCACGCGCTCGGCTCTATTTAACCCGCACAAAGTCACGTGAATGCGTGATTGGTTGCGCATGTGTGTTTTAAGGGAGCCTGGGTCAATTAAGACAAAAAAAATTATGTACTAATTTTTGTACAAATACTGTAAAATTACTTAAAGTGATGTTAGTTACCCGCAGAAGTTCAGGTTTGCACGACTTGATCAGGTGCCTTACGCGTGATAGGCTACAGGTAGACTCTAGAAATCTAGATTTGTTACAATGCCAGGTTGACGAAAATATATTTGCGTTCCAAGGTGATAGTCTTTGTTTCCTTACTATTTTTTTATTTTATAATTCGACCTGAAAGAATTTAATTTAAGTAAATATATTTTTTTCTGAGTGTATCAGGTCCCAAATTCTCCTCACCTGTTATATTTAACATGCCATGGTAGGTATAGAGAAGTTAGGAATTGATAACTAGTTGAAACAAATAGAGTTCTGAGTGTGTTAGGCAGAGTGCTGCTGAAACAAGTAAAATCCGGAATCAGACATTTTTTAAAAGCAGAGTGTTATTTACTAGAGTGTTATATGTAGTCTTAAAGCAGATTTGTAAATAAAATGATGATGGGTTTGATTGTCTGGCTCTTGTCAAACATATATAAAGAGAAAATGGCTATTTCTTCAGGAACACCAAAAGTCAGTTATGTAGAAAATCCGGGGGGGCTCCCTTATTAAAAACGCGGTTTTGGTACGTCTCAGGGTGTCCAGCCTCAAAAGCTCCACGGTGGAAGCTTTCGCGGTACTTTTCAGGATATTGAGCCGACAAAAAAATATGACAGGAGATAATGTGTTGTGTAAGAATTGGTAGCTCAGCATCTTGGTACCTCTTAGGGGTTGTTTTCAAAATTTCCGACGAGTATCCCCGTCCTTTTTAATTAGCAGTCTCCTCCGTGGTACCCCTGTGGTGCCTACGGTGTAAATATATTAGTCGCTGAAAACTTGGGNCCCCCCCCCCCCCGGTAGAAAATGATATGTGGTTACTTGTAGATGTGGAATTTATCTTCTCCCGTTCAAGTTTATATCTCACCCGTGAGAAATGGAGTCGAAAACTCGAAGAGAAATTCAATATTCAATATCTACGCGCCCATGTATTAAGCCCTGGCCAAACGGAGTCGCAAGTAGACGCAAGTTCTCGACTTGCGTCTACTTTCCACTCCGTTTGGTCAGGCCTTGCGTGCAATTGCGTTGACTTGCGATGACTTGCGCTCACTTTGGGCGAGATCTAATTTGCACGCAAGTACTAGTAGACGCAAGTTTTTCACCGTTTGGCCACCCAACCTAAGTCAACGCAAGTTGAGTGACGTCCATTAACCTATAATTAGCCAATGAAATACAGGATATGTCAGCCTTGAAATGGGTTTTTTTGCGACCTGCGTGTACTTGCGAGGAAACTTGCGAGTCCGTTTGGCCACCCAACGCAAGTCTCTACGCAAGTTCAACTTGTGGCTACTTGCGACTACTTGCGAGCCCGTTTGACCAGGGCTTTAGTTTCTATGTAAACCTCTAATGAACCCCGCCATCTATCTCCTGCAATGTCCCATTCATAAGTAGTTGTTTATAGAACAAAATTTCGCCAAACAATCAACGCATCAATTGCGACAAAAAAGTATGAAAACATCGTTATGAAATGGGAGAATTAAAAACAAAATTAAAGCACTTATCCCGCTGGCTTATTAGTTTTAGCCACTCGCCGTTGCTAGGAAACAACGTGCAAACTAGTCCACGTTACTTTCACTCTGGCTAGACTAGAAACAAATGTTTCGGAAGCGAGACTTGTGCGCAGAAGGCAAACATGTTGGCTGAGGCAAAAACATTTTCCTGTTTCCGAGAAGCAAATTTTGCTTTCGCAACGAATCTTTCCAGGCTCGCGCACCGCTAGTCCAGTTCCTAAACTCTCCTTTCTCCCCGCCCCGTATAGGGGCTGAACCCGGGCGGGCGAAAAGAAGAGTCTTCTTTTCGCCCGCCCGGGTTCAGCCCCTATATGGGGCGGGAAGAAAGGAAAGTTCAGAAACTGGACTAGCGGTGACCTTGTTGACATCGTCCTAAATTCTAGAGATCTGGTGGACACGTTTCCTTTTTTGTTCTCCTTGTTCGTAAAGGAGACGTGAATATTGAAGATAGCGAAAGGGAATATGTTACAGGGATTCAGTCAAGGTATTTTGACCTGTTTTGACCACGTACAAATTATCTTTAAATTGAAGGAAACCTGAAAATAGTAGTTTACTAAGATACAAAAGCACTAAAGAGATAATAATAAGCCGTAGAGGAACAAAGATGGAATTTAACACGGATTACGATCGATGAACTTGGAAAATTTTGGCCAAACTTTTCAAGATGTGCAAAGCGTAATGCAGCTCCATCCCACAACTACACATAAGTCAATAAACAAATAAACACGATTTTACATGACAACTGCTAAAAGCGAAGGAGTCACTAGCCAGTCTAAATTATTGAATATCACAGTCCGAACCCGTACAGCAAGGTAAAGTCTGCATCGGGTCAAAAGCCCATTCCTGAATACAAGAGGAGCTAATCCCGATTTCTGTGTGACATGAAGCTACTAGGAGTATTTCTACTCTCCCCTGGATGGGATGCTAGTCCATTGCAAGGTTCCCGCCGGTATTAAATTGGCCAGTGCCCATGTAAACACCTGGATAGAGAGAGTCACTGTGATAATAGTGTCCTGCACAAGACGACAACAGAGTGATCCCGCCCGGGGACTTGATCCAGAGTCTAGGGCCAACATTGGGCCGCCGTGCCTGTAAAAGTAAAAAGCGGAAGATTAGCGTAACGTTACGAAAGTAAAGACGCTAGTTCCAGATTTGGAAGGAGCTTTTTCTATATCTGCATTCTAAGGTTGCCATTATCGGTGTGTCGTTCTACAACTAGGGTAGCCAAAATGTCTGTCTTATTGAGAAATCATTTCCAGTGAAACTAAAAATATAAGTAACATTATTTTAAAAGAAGTTATTTTGTGATATAGATAGTGCAGGTTTATTCTTCTCTTTAGTGACAGGAGTAGAGCCACGGTGGCCTCATTCCTTGTGCGCTCCCCTCCGGATCGAGCGGTCCGGGTTCGCGCCCTGGCCAGGGACATCGTGTTGTGTTCTTGAACAAGACACTTTACTCTCAGAGTGCCTCCCTCCACCCAGGTGTGTAACGGGGTACCGGCGAATTCAATGCACGGGGTAACCCTGCGATGAACTAGCATACCACCCAGGGGGAGTAGAAATACTCCTAGTCGCTTCATGCTACTGAAACCAGAGATAAACGCTATAGCCTGATGGGCCACTTGGCTCGTACGCAGACTTTACTTTAGTGTTAGGAAAATTTCGGCAGTTCATTTTTTTCTTTTCTCTACTTATTATTTTGCTTTTTCATACAGGTCACAACCGACCTCGGTATTTGAAGAGAATTATCGATCTTTGAATCATATTTCCTAACAAACCGGAATCAAAACATTTCCTTTCGATTCCACTTATTTGCTCATTTATGGATGCTTCTCGCTTCATTAATATACAGCTCCTTTTTGAATTAGGGCCAATTTATCACCAATAAGGCTATCTGCTTCAGCTTTCGAAACAATTCAAGACTTTCGATCTTACTTCTAGCAAACCGGAATCGAAACATTCTCTGGCTTTAGATATCCGCAATTCTTGCTCATTTATGGACTTTTTTAACTTCATTAAATTGTAATATGCAACAAGTTAAGCTAATTCCTGTCAACTGCACGTTGATTGGACAATCAAAGGGAAGAAAGTTCCGTATCAGATACGATGAAGAACTTAAAACACTTTCAGCATTTGAGCGTGTTTTCGTTTTCTTGTACTCGTTGATGTGTTCAATGAGCGCTTCACACATTGCCTTTCAACCATAAGGTTGATTCCTCTGTGGGGTCATTTTTGTTTATTAATTCCGAATTGTTTTCTTCAATTTGCCATGGACGTACACGACCTAGACGAGAGTTTCACCGACATCTTAACCAAACACCGCTTGCTCATCGTGCAAAATCTACAAATGGATCGAACGTTCATGTTCGACTACCTAATCAGCAAATCGTCTTTTGATAAGACGGACTTCGAGTTGATTCAAGCCGAGAAGACCAGCGAATCAAAAGCAGGAAGGTTTCTAGATATCTTAGAAATGAAGGGAGAGAGAGCGTTCTACCATTTTATTGACGCCTTACAGATTCTTAATCCGAGCTTGTACGAGATGTTGACCGGGGAAAGTGGAACGAAAAGTAAGTAGCCTTTGTGATTTTCTTCGTAGTGTTTTCCGTAATAATTTTTGTCCGTTTGGCAAAATGATTTGATTTACAGTCAAGAGGTGTAGCCCCTTCTGTTATCCAGTATAAGTACTTTTCACGAACCACTTCAGTTGTTGAATTTGTCTCCATACCTGAAGTTCCTAATTTTAATAATTTCTAGTTTCGACTTCAGTAGTTCAACAAAAGCTCTATTTCAGTAGGCGAAGGAGTGAATGAGATTACAGTAGGATGCTTTTTATCCTTCTAGTAGTGAAAAATAGCGTCAGATTATCTTTGGTTTTACAATGTTCCTGAGAAGGGCCTGAACGCAATCAGTTTGCAAAGACACAGGTCTAGTTTGAGTCATTTATCTGGCTTAATGTTGCAAGTAATTTTCGGTTTTAATCTGTTCCATGAAGCGGCTTGAAGTATTTCTTTTTTTCTTCAGACTGACTGCTAATTGTTCATCTATTATTTCTTCAGGCTCTTTAAGTTTGTTCGGTTTTAACTGATAGCCGAAAATTTATCCAAATTTTAACAATCAGTTGAGAGATACGAGATCAAAAATATTTACTAACAACGGGAAATGGGCGAAAGTTTTAATTGATAACTTAGATTCTAGCTAGTAACCCCGCCCATCGATGTCCAAATTCTCGTCCTCCGGTTCCCAGGCCTAGCCATTTGTGTTCTCTCTTGGGTGAAGAGAGGCACAACCAAGGCTGATACATAAGTGATCCTCATGCTGTCCAGGGCTAGAACCCAGACTAGGTTCCCATCCGGATCTCAGCGCTCTGTATGCCCGTCCACAAGGTTTGATCTGAAGATTAGAAAATTCACACGGTAAAATAATCTTGCCAGAGCGACCTTTGCACGTCAGTAACATAAAGGCGAGATTTACGCCGTCAATTTCATCAACCAAAGAACGCCAATCAGCTGAAGCTAGTTGGTTAAAACTCGATGAATAAATATCACGTGTGTAAATGGGATGTGAAACCTTGCATCCAGGTTGTACACTTCCTAATAGTGAACAACGGCAAAGAGCAAAGCAAAAATATATTTCATTTCAATCAAAATGACGATCGCCGCATTGAAAAATTTAAGAATAAAGTACCTTTTAGCATGAGTTAATTGTTAGTCCGGGTGGGAGAGCTGGAATCTCAGTTGTCAGTTAGATGTTTGGTGCTGGATTCCTCTGGCCCTGTCCACACTACGCCGGAGGAAATTGAAAACGCGACAATCACCAGTCATTTTGGATTTGTGTTCGAAGAAACCTCGCTCACAGAAATCGCATGATTATCGTGACCTCATTTCTTTCTAAAAGTTTCGTTTCAAAATGTGTTCCGTCTACACGAAAGCACAAAGGCGGCGTTTTCCAATTTGCCCGGTTTGAAGAGCGATTAAAAAAACTCCGTTTTCGTGACGGATTAGTGTGAACGGTAGGCCAAACCGTGGAGATAAAGTTGCGTTTTCAAATTTCTTCGGCGTAGTGTGGACCCTGCCTCAGCTACTAGTTAGGATTTAAGCCCATCTCTCAGTTATCAACAAATTTTGCAAGTCCCAGATGTCTTTTATTGGTTTAAAAACGTCTCATTTCTCAACTGTCAGTTACAATTTTGATAAATTTTTAGCCGTATACGATCAACCTCATTGAGGCCCTCTTAAGTTGACCCCACTCAATTAATCCATAAAGATGAAAGATGACTTGATTTTATTTGGTTTCTTTAGGAAGCAATCCCATATTTTCGGACATGAAGAGTCACTTAATCAGCGGTAAGACGGACAAGAATCTACTCGTTCAGTGTTTGATTTTTATGAAGGATAATTGCTATATCTTCAGCTAGGAGGCGATGTAGAATTCTTAGAGGGTGGTAGACATTACTGTCGTCAAGCGCGAACGGTGATCTCCCCTAAATGAATAGCTAGGATGAAGGGGAGTTGAGTTGGCGCAGTGGTGAGAGCGCTCCCCTTTTATCAATGTGGCTCGGGTTTGATTCCATCCCGGTGCCATATGTGCATGGATTGAGTTTGTTGTTGGTTCTCCCTGCTCCGAGAGTTTTTCTCCGGGGTTTTAGGGGTTCCCCGGTTTTCCTCCCTCCACAAAAACCAACATCTCCAAAATTCAAATCGACCAAAGCTGATGGGGCTTTCTCTCTGAATATTGTAATTTAAGGGGATTCTAGTATCCCAGAGGCGTGAATTTCTTTTAGGCTTACTTGCGCAACTGCCTAAATTGTGCACATAAGTGCGAGGATCTCTCGTGTCTTATTTCTTTCTTTTTTTTTTTTTAATTTTATCAAGGTGGAGGGTCTAGCTTTCTTGACGTGGACATCCTGAGCAACTATTCAAAGGTACTCACTGAAAAATTACAGGACCTGACCCTTCATCATGACCAAGTTCTCAAAGACAACCACGAGCTGAGGAAAAAGCTTGAAGAAGCCTTGTTAGAGCAAGGTAGAAAACAACGCAGAATCGACTCACTAGAAAAGCAGGTATTAGACACTGAAGACGCTTTGGTTAACGAGGCGCGGTCCAGTGCCAACAAGACGGGAGAGAACCTCCTTCAGAGATTTGGAGAGGTTCAGCGGGAGGGCAGGACAAACCAGTTTATAATCCAGTTACAGATGAAGCTACTGACAGCGCACGAAGAAAACGAGACACTTCGACATCAGATGGAAGACGTAAACGCTCGAAGAGACGAGCTGCACCAGCAGTTGAGTAAAGTCAACGTGGACTACGCGTTTGAGAGAAAGGAGACCACTAAGTTGTCTCAGCAGCTACGATCGCAATCAGCAGAAATGAAGACCTGCGAGAGCCTGAAGAAGAAACTACTTGAAGTGCAGTTCGAAAGTGCGAAGTTGCAATGTGAGCTGCAGGAAAAAGAGAATGATTTAACGGAGGTGAAGCGCTGGACCGAAGCTCTGAAGGCACAGTTTGATCTGGTAGAGGCCGAGAAAGAGGAGTTACTAAAAAATCAAGAAGTTGTCGACAGAGAATGCTCCCGCCAGCGAGATGAAATCTCTGATTTGATGATCAAACTAAACCACAAGGAACGCGCCATGGAAGAACTCAAAAGAAACTGCAAAGAAGCGGAAGAAAGTTCAAAGATTTATAGAGAAGAACGGGATTTCTACTCCAAATCCATGACAGATACCTCCCTGGAACTCGACCAGATGAGGAAAGAGGCGGAAGAAGCTGCCCAACGACACAAGAAAACTTTGGAGTCCAAAGAATTGAGTCTTCGACAGCAGACGGACTACTTGCGACAGTTTGAAAAGAAATACGATCAGGCCAAAGAGGAACTTGCATCTGTAAAGACGATTCTAAACCAAGAGAAAGCAGAGAACGAAGAACTAAGAAAGAGGATCTCTAACCTGGAGACAGAGTTAAAACAAAAGGTAATTCCCAAAGGTGTTTTGTGTGAGGTATTGTGACCTTATAGTTAAAGTAGTTTACTGTGAACCTGGCCGAGCTCAGGTCACTCACTGTGTTACGTCCTTAACTTAGCCTGCAAGCATGCTTGGGTTTTTTGAAATAGCAGGGTCCAACTGCATCTAAATTAAGATGATTTCCGCAGAACATTCGAGCAATAATGGCAAAAATTAAGTTACCAAAAAAACCTCATGGCATGGTAATATGTTGAATTAAGGTAGGAAGATCTTATCGAGACCTTAGCTCTCAGGCTGACCCCGCGAGAGAAAACTGAACTTGAAGTTATCCATATTTCTCATAAAACGGACGTGTCGGGTTAGTTGAAAACACAATAACACACGCTTTAAGCATTCTTACGAGGTTTGAAATTAAATTTCTCGAATATGTTTGGGGATTTAAACGCGGGGTCACCTTGAGAAATGAATTACAGTAAGTTGTTTTAAATAGTATTCAAAAAGTTACCGTGTTATAAGTAGATTTTTAGTAAATAATTTTATGCACTTATTGCTGGAACTTTGAGCGGAATCCGTCTTAATCAAATCATGGATTAATTTATACATAATCATCAGTTTAGCCTTCCTTTTTCTTAGTTTCTCTTCGATAAACTATTTACTTTCTTATTTGTGCTTTCCTTATCAGGAATTAACCTCAAAGCCTTATTTGGAAGAAGGTGACCACCAGGGCGTAAGTCAAATGCAGGATTCTCATGATCCTGAACCGAGTGGGACTGGAGACGACGACGGCTTGATCATCGACTGGAGAAAAGAGCGCGCGGCAAAAGAACTCGTGGGGAGTATCCAGAGACGAGTCATGAGAACCGACCATGAGGAAATCAAGGTGTCCCGAGCCAGGAATAAAGTCATCCGCAAAAGTAGGAGCTTTGACGAGAGACTGGCCAAACTTATACCGGAAGTTGAAAGCTTGCCACTTGAAAACCTGAACGCTTGGAGTCTGGATCGACACAGAATGAAACAAAGTCTGCCATTCGAACTGCTGGCCACCATGTGCCCGCCAATGGGAAGCGTTGGCGATGCGTTTCCCGCTGCGCTTAGCGACGCGATCTTCCGATCAAGCGACGGCCCCAAAGCTGATATCAGACAGCGCGGATGTCGCAAGATGTCTGCTCCCACGGTGAGTGAATATCTTCCGTTTTATCGCCAGGATTCAAACTCAGCGAGAAAAGAACAGGACGGAATAGAGGACGGCGCGAAAGCCAGTCATGGTACAGTTACTGGTGATGGAATGGAAGTTTTCGAAGACGATCGTAAAGCCGCGCAAAATCAATTCCGCGCTCGTACTCGCGCATTCCGACTAAGGGATGGTGAGCGGCGCAATCGACGTCTCACCGAGCCAATCTTGTACACACAGGACTACTCCAGATCGGACCATATGTAACATAACGAAATTTGTCACGCAAAGGCCAAGAACAGTTGTTTTTCACTCGGTCCGCCGCGCGTGACGCGAAAGAAAACCGCGAGAAAATAATGGCCGTGCGAAATCCTGGGGGTGAGGATCCTCGCTCCTAGGATTTTCCGCGGCCATGTTTTCTTTCGCGTCATGCACGACGGACTAAGAGAAAGAGGGACTACTCGTAGTCTACAGTTGTCGCGCTATTAGTGGTCATTATTAATATGTAATGACTTGTGATCAAATCGACGAAAACCTGTAAATGGTACATAAGATATCTTTTCTGGAAACTGCGGTTGTTTTACATTTTTCCTCTAAGGAAATAGTAGATGTATGCGCGCGCTAATTGTGCAATAGGCACGCGTAGGCCCTTTGCATGAACGTGTCACGTGACCTCGTCAGTCGCAGGATGGAAAGAGCGGGATGAAATTAGTAAAATTTCCAACGTTGAAGTTACGGAAGTAGTGATGCGAGATTTTAGGACACTTTGAATGTTGCACGGCAAAGATTGCCATCCAGCAACATTTTTCCTTACAAGTCTTGTTTTATTTTTTTAACCTTAAGATAACCGTAACATCTCACATTCAAACGTTGCGGCCACAAAATTGGAATTCAAACTAATTTCATCACGCTTTTTCTATTTATGGTTTCTATTTTACATTAGTAGAATTCTATTAGTATACTAATGCAAATGCTGTAATCTGATTGGCTGAGCTACTCGTATACTATCAGCCATTAGAGTGCAGTGGCTATCGGTCGTTTACGAAATGCGACGTTTTTATCGTTTTTCCGAATTTTTGGCAGAAAGTTCAGATGTAAATGGGTAATTAAATTCCTGAGAAGACAAAAAGAAGGATAATAATGGTTTCTTGACCTTCAAAGCTTGAAATTATTGAGTTAACGGGTGCGCGCGCGTAAACACCTGCAAATTTACCAGGAACATTTCAACACGTGCGATTTTGTTAAAGTGTAAAGTTCAATGATGCGTACAAAAATATTTGGAAACCGTTATTTGCGTTAATTTCAATTAGAATTCTACTAAAACAATTAGATTATTCGCTCTCGATTTCTATGAGGCGATAGTTGACTCTGCCTTTGGCCCCATCAACTATCACCTCATAGAAATCTCGAGCTCATAATCTAATTGTTAATTATGATTGACAAGGTCACGTGACACGCTCACTCAAAGGGCTTATTGCACAAAACAACTGGGTGACAAGCTGCACAAACCATTGCCTCGTGTAACAGCATGCATCTTTTAAACATGAAAGAAGCACTCCCTCTTCACCAAGAGAAAATTGCTCTCCACATAATCGGTAACCGATAAGACACCAAAAGGAGAAGAACATACGAATTGAAGCTAACTTTAATAATTTGAATTTCTGTAAAGCATTCTGTTGAAATATAAAACTAGATTTTAATATGTTACAATGTACAAATTAGAAGATCAACATTTCATCATATCCTCTTAATATTTTGTTAACAACAGTGTACTGTTTCTCGCATCATTGATCTACATTGTTCATTTCCTGGCAGAATTTAATTTTGGCAAATAAACTTCTATTCAATATAACGATCTGTGTAGATCGAATTGTTCATTTACAACCGTAAATCTAATGCCTGAAATATTTAAACTTTTAAAAAATTCATCTGCTTACATGCAAATCACAGATCTGAATCTGCAGTGGTAGATAGATTCTGTTGGTCATCGAGTCATCTCAAATTCGCGCTTTCACATTGACAAAAAGGTTTCCATTATTGTATACATGGGTATTCGCTAAGTATTCGTTTTGCATGAAGCTATGTTAACAAAGATCTGATATTCCATTGCATTTTATTGACTTTATTTTTACAAAATAAAATCTCTAAAAAAAATTGGCGGTTCTTTTGCATAAGCCAGCATAACCTGATGCGGACATTAAAGAAATGTCGGGAGAATTTCAAACTACTTATGTAAGCCCGTAGAATCCTTCACAGTCGTCGTCGGGTCATCACGCAACGCTCCCTCCTTCCATGACTAGTAACCCGGGGGAGGGAACTTCCAAGAGAAAAAGTCGGGGATGTTCGTCTTCTCGCTTATAAGAGTGTAAATCACAGACTTTTAGTCTTTTAGGGTTGCACCCGAAGAAATAATGAAACCAACGCTGCCTGTCCGTTTCTGAAGTGGTATCTTTTGGGGGTCAAATAAAGCTCAAACCACACCCAAGGGGTTTAATTCGGACGAGCATCTCCGACCTTTTCACATGTGAGCTCTCCCCCGGTACCCTCCGGAACTAGTAAACCCTTGACTGCAACTCGGGTTTACATAAACTTCCCAAGCCTTCCGAACTTTCTCTAGAGTTTTCATCACGCTACATATTTATATTCCTATTCCTAATTAAAACCCAGAAACTGGCTGAAGTTTAGCATAATCCGTAGCGAAGGAACTCGCCGACTGCTCGGATGTGTACAGTTTCAACTGAATCTCTCGCTCTCTCGAATTTCTGTTCTTATTAAAGAAAGAAGGTAAACGTCCTTTACTTCCTGAGTGGAACAACAGGAGAAAAAGTTTGTCACGTTTGCTAAGCAACAACCGCCAAATACGCTCAACTTGGAAACACTTTACCACGGCTCATTTTTGACGTGAACTGGGAAGAACTATCGTCAGCGTTTCGAAAGTTCTTATTTTTCACTTCGTAGGTGAAACATGACGAACTTTCCAATCTAAACTACGAAAAATTAGCCGCCGTCGTTTACGTTCTCCAAAATACGCAGAACTTTCATTTCACGTTGTTGTTTTAAAGAGGACGGCAAAGAAATGTACAAAGATTTATAACAAACGTGTACAGTCACTGTTCTGCTCGTGAAGTCTTTTGTTTGATGGCGTTCTCGTTGCCGTTGCGGTCGTGGTTTGCTTAAGGTCCCTATTCTCAGGCCCCGTCTACACTGCGCTGGAGGTATTGGAAAACGCAGCTCTATTTCTGCGGTTAGGCCTACCGTCCACACTAATCCGTCACGAAAACGGAGCTTTTCGAAAACGCTCTTCAAACCGGAGGAATTTGAAAACGCCGGCTTTTCATTTTCGTATGGACAGAAAACATTTTGAAAACGGAGCTTTTCGAAAGCGATGGCATCGCGATAGTCATGTGATTTCCCTGACCGAGTTTTCCTCAAACACAAAACCAAATGACCGGTGATTGCTGTGTTTTCAAGTTCCTGCGGCGTAGTGTAGATGGGCTCCTACAATCACGATTTTGCGTGAGTGAGGTCCAACCTGATGTCAGAAAGGATCTCGGAATGTGAAGCGCGTGCAGACGTGGCCGTGTTTGGTCAACTTGTCAGGTAAGGAGAGAAAGCACAAGCTCCAGGAAAGGAAAAAGTTCCTCTCTCTATTCCTCGTGCTTATCTCACTTCCACGAACGGTTAGGTTTTCTTGTGCTTCAAGACGAGAAAAGGGCAGCAAGGAAAGGCCTTACTTCACCAACAGTTGCCTGTCTTGCACCCTTTGGAAAAGGTTCCTTAGCAACCGGAGCTTGGTCCCTCATAATAGCCAGCAGTTCATAGGTACTAAAACCTTTGGGCTTTATGTTGAGGGCCTCGACTAGCATCTCACAGGAAGCTCTTCCGCTCTGAAGTCCCTTTATCAACATGACGAAAAGCAAAGTTGAATTCTCACTGCTCTTTCCACAACAGGAAACAAAGTCAATGGCTTCCTTCCACATTTTGCTGCTTAGAAGGAGATGCAAAGCTTGAGTCTCTTGACCAATAGAGTAACAGAGTTGTGAGTGAACCAACATGGACTTAGTGTTTACATGTCTTGTACGCAAAACTGGAAGACACTCCAACACAGACTGGGTTAGATACTCCTACAGAAAAAAAATCAAAATGAAATCTTATGGCATTCCTTCAGTCAACTTTCCATTATCATTGGTCTTTGATGCTTGCAGAGAAATTAACACTTAAAAATTAGTTTGGAAGAAAGTTCTGACAAGTTTTTTGTAGTAATGTAAGATAGAGCGTCTCTTCAGGTCTAAAACAACTAATGTAATAATTTCATTACATCATATGAAATACGTGTACAAAAGACATGTATTTTCCTTTTCGTTAAAAGAAGCATAGCATTTTCTGAAAAAACGTCCACTGTTATCTGACAACCCGATCAGTTTTTTCCCTACAAAACACTGCCTATCAGTACGGTGGAACCCAGCCTCCCCTCATATTTCCCTGTTAATGCAGCCACCACGTTATTACCATCACTGAATTTGGCCCAAACACATTTCACGTGGAGGGAGGAGTACTAAAAAAGTTTTATGTGGGGAGGCTCTGCCTGGGGTCAATCCTTTGTCCTTTTACAACTTTAAACCATTTTTGACAAGAAAGGTAGCCCTTCTATATAACTACAGTAAAAACATGCAACTCTTCAGAACGTGACTGTAATTTCATTCGCTCCCTGTTTCACACACCTTTACTGTTTTAACGGCTAGGTTTACTGCTTCTGTTGTTTGTTCTATTGTTTCCTCAGCCAATACTGAAAGTGTCTGAGGGGTGCTTGGGATCCCTTTCAATTTAACTTATAGTGCAATTACTTGAACCGGGCAACATAGAAGAAAACCAACCAATCAGAACTTAAACTGAGAACTATGGAGTGCTGTCTTTTTCATGAATTCAAGTAATGCTTCATTTGACATGAACATGTGAATATCATCAACTCCTCTGTGTTGTATACACTCTACAGATTCATACCTTGATGGAGAATTTCCAAAATTACAAATTTCGCTCGAAAAATCTAGCTTGAAAACTAATTTCATGACAACTAAATTGAAACCACTGAAAAGAGCACAAAAAGTGTAGGACTGTAACTAACCAATCAACAAGTGGCAAAGTTTCCTGGGAGGTTCACAACAGTTCACACTTTTGTTGGGTTTCCAATTTGTAGTAGAACTGTTGTTTGTATCCATCAATGTTATTGGTTTATTTACAAAAAAGATCACTATCCTTTGTTCTCAAGTAACATTCTGATTGGTCAACTCACTGTCTAAATGGTATCGACAGGCCCTTTTAAATTTATCAATTATCTTTACCAGACCTCAGTTCTCTCATCTGACTCTGCCAGCTGAATTGTATCCATTCCTCTCTCCACCATCTTCATGAGCCATTCTGATTTTGAATCGCAAAAGATTCGTAGGAGGATGTTCAAAAGGGCATTAAAAGGATCTTTGAGAGCTATTCTACTCCTCTTCCACTGGCCATTTCTCCACTCAAGTCTGAAAGACATGTCGATAAAACCATATAATAATCGTAATTCCGTTGCAACCCTACAATATTACATTATCCTCCTCATTAAATCCTTATTAAATGCTTGGTGATAGATATAACAAGACGTTATTGAGTAGATGGTAATTGTTGGTCTGTTATCAGCTATCTGCTCGTTAATGCCTTGCAAGGTTACCACAAAAGTCAGATGCCTGTCCTAATGGTGGACATCTCTCTAAGATTAGCATTCATGGCTAATCCCAAGTTTCACTAATTTCATTTCAAAATAACCCCACAGGGTACAAAGCACCCACCTCCCCAACCACCATAAAAAAATTCACCAAAAGTTGGACTGAAGAAAGAGGAAGGTTAGGTTGGGGGAGGGGGTTGAGTGTAACCTTACTTGGCCACAAAACGTGTGTCTGCTTTCAGATGGAAAGTCTCTAGAAGATCAAAATAATGCAGTTTGTTGCCAAGTGACTTGAGGCATTCCAGAGCAATATACTTTCCTTTTAAAGGATGTTGCCTGACAGTAAACAAGATTGTTGAGCAGACGTACCTGTAAATTGTTCTCCATCTCTGCTCCAATTGATGTCCCTGTGAGTCATCCTGCTTAGAATCAATCTTTAAATACTCTGCTACACATTCTAGAACCTTGTGGGGCTGTTGATGACTTAATGTGCTCAGCCTCTCCAGTGATGTCATGTCCAGTGGGCCACTGTTGAATGCCTCCAGCAAAGCAGGAACTTCTTGGCTGACAGAGTTTGTTGGAAGTGAGGGTGACTGCGTCATTCCTTTGAAACCAGAATCTATTGCAGACTTACACTGCTTGCCCAGCAAAACAAATTCACTCAAGTATGGATGCAAAAGCTCATTTAAAAATGTCTTGTGAGGTTTGTGTATGCTTTCACCCACATATTGTTCAAGCCTTTGAAGGATGAATTCTCTGTGCATTGGATGTTCCCAGAGTAAAGCAAGGGCTATCGCTGGGTCCTGAGCATGTTCGCTTACTAAGAGATCAAGAAAGTATCTTGGAATCTCTGAATCTTTCAGAGCACAATCTGACAAGAGTGTTGAACAAACAACTGAGTCCAGTGCAAGCTTGGCTGCCCTGTGATTCAAATTCCACTTCATCAAGTGACTTGCTGCCAAAAGTGGGCCAGTAAATAGCCTTTCATCAGTGTTCATAGATTGTTCAGTAGTGCTTCTGGAAGAAAACATTTCTTGCTCTTGTACAAGTTCAGGTATAACAAACTTCTCAGATGAGTTGTCAAATTCAGTTCTCAAGGATGGGTCATCGGCTATAAAACAATTCTTGTGCGAAGCCCTGGTTTTGGAACTGGATTCATTTAGCCTTCCTTGAATCACTGAAGAATTGGTTTCTCCAGTTACAATGTTTGCCAAAGAAATGGAAGATCTAATGCACTCGGAAATTTCAAGAACTGATCCAGATTGGAGCTTCCAAATTCCACTGATTGACCAAAATCCAATGGAATTAGCCAAATGAAAACTCTTCCATATGTGAACATTTTGACCTTGCAAGTCTTCAAGCTTACAGATTTTAGCTCCACTGTGAATGTCATGAAGCACAATAACACCTGAGTCCCACACCAGTCCAACAATAAGATCAAATGTAAAGAAGAATGAAATTTTGTCATTGGTAAATGAAGAATCCAGCAGAAGTTTCACAAGGGGTGTTAGAGCAGGATCTCTGTCGTCAAGTTTGAAATATGACAATTCTAAATCACTGTTGAGTACAAGAAGTTCATTAGTTGTAGGGTGAGATGTGATAGCAATGACATGGTGCCTGCCACTATTTGCTCCTGACGTCCATGGACAAACTAACTCTGCAACTACAGCTCTGAAGTCAAATGTGTCTACATCTCCAATTAAACCATAATTCCATATATAAATCTGTAATCAAAAGGAAAATATGATGATAATAATAATAATAATAATAATAATAATTACTTTTAAGTCAAGATGAAAATTCAGAATGCGCAGTTTAAAGTAAAGTAACTACTTTAAATCATCTGAAAATAAGTGCTCTTAAACACAGAGAGACCCTTCAACTCAAAAATAAGCGCGAAAACCTTAAATTAAGCCATAGTCAATAGAGGGGAATGGTTATGAAACCCAACAAATTTCTCTGTTGTATATTTTCATTCTCTTTTTTAGCCTTGACCATGCACGAAACTCAATAGTTGTTTACTCCGTACTGAGGAATTTACCAACAGAAACGTTTTGGTTACGTAATTCATGCATAGTGTATGAGTGCAAAACAAAAAATTGCGCACCGTCATGGACCTTGCAACAAAAATGTTGGCATCTTTGTTTGCCCCTTTGATGTTTGCCGGGCGTCACAACCATTTCTCTCTACAAACTATGATTAAGTCTTTGATAATAATCTTGTCCAAAACGCGAGTCTCTTTCTTACATGCAGAAAGCTTCAATCTCCCCCCTGTAGATGCCTAGTTGAAACATTTCAGGTATTACAGCCTTAAATGAAAACATTTTCAAAAAAAAGGAATAATTCATACGAACCAAGGCAAGAAAAGAAACATGCACAGCTGGTAAATATTGAATGATAAACTTTCCCCAATTCTGCGATTTTCAGAGGAAAAGTACTTCTGTTGGAGTTATTTTTGATGGTACTATGTTTGGTGGTATTTTGGTGCAGCTGGGACAGGTAAGTGATCAAAATGTCTTTGAAAATCTTCAAAATGTCTACAGGAATGTTTGGAAGTATTTGAATGTGGTCGCTCCTTCTTTAAAAAATACTGGAACTCCCAAGGTAAAAATCGGAAAAAGTTGGCAGATAAGTTGGCAGATGTAGGAGTCATTTCTTTTTCTTGTGAAAGCCAATATGTCGTACAGATTGCTTTGCATATCATATTTAGAGATTTTTTAACAAACCTTTAAGGACCGCTGAACAAATGTCCAAAAGAGAATAAAACTCCTCAACTCCTCAGGAAAGTCAGGAACAAGACAAACGCTTCTGCCAATGATGTGCAAAGACATGGTAGGACAGCCATGAAGAATCACAACCAAGGGTCCAACAGAAACCACCGTATTGTTTCCTAGTCTTTCAGAAACAGTCACATCTCTCAAACAAACACAACAGGTTATTAAATTTGATGCGGAGACTGAACGACGCTCGCACCAGAAGAATGCATTTACCAGGGGGTGGACTATGACATGCAATATTTCAACTCCTTTTGTGTTACTCAGTTGAAATTCATTTCTCTTAATCCATTTGTAGTTTGACTGAGTAAATTCCCAACATTCTGTGATGCTATTTTGGTGAACTATGAAGACAAGCAATGGATTTTCGACACTAGACAAGACACTCACAATGGGAGATTCTTGGTCTGAAATGAAAAGAAACCATTAATACAATTAATATTCACTGTATAATCACACGCAACAATGCCAAACATTGTTATGGGTAGTGGTAGTTTACCACTAATGGACTGAAGTTCATGGTGTCTCAGGGCTAAATGTAAAAATCATGACAAGCTGTACTTGACATGTGTTTTCTTGTGCCTTTGCCCTGAAGCAACATCATGTGAACTTTGATCAAACAAAGGTAAACTAATTGGAAACTCTACCTATGATAGCTTTTGGCACAGTCTCGTGCACTTTAATACTTCTGTAGGACAACCTTCTCCTGCCTCCTTCACATGTTTTTCCTGAGCATGGAGTGCAATCAGCAATTAAAATTAAACCAAGCATGAAGTGTAATCAGGGTGAGCTGGGAACAAGTGCAGAATGGAGCAGGGGGGCAACATTAACAACTGCATCATGCTGTATGGAAGATGGTAGCCTGGGATATCCAGGGGTTTCCACTGTGACCAGCCGTCCCCTAGACAGTATAACGCCCCCATGGCTGGCAATCCCCACAACCCAGCTATGAGCCCCCACGTTCCAGGGTCTGCCAGGCTGCAACACGCTAGTACAATGATGAAGTGCACTGAGCCTGCATTACCATATGAATACTGCTGATCAGAAGTACCAGCTACATTTTGTTGTTAAACTTGTTAAACTGCATTTACCAGCATTTAACTTTTTCACTCCCAAGATCTCAATGTTAATTCTCCTTACTGTCCGCCATACATTTCTAAAACTGATAATTCTGAGAATTTGGTGTTAAATCAAGCAATATCGCCTAGTTGATGGATTCTTCATTGTTATCACCTGTGTACTATCTGCTTGACAATTTTATACTGTGAGAAATTACTTATTAGTAATTTCGCTTCTCCTCCCTTTCCCATCTTTCCTTCCCCCAATTTTCGTGGATTTAACTTTTAATTTACTTTCGCTGGTTTGGACAACTGGGGACGAGGCATTCCTTTCCCATCCAGTTTCCATCAATGAACTGATTGCTTGCTTTGTCCACAACAAAGGGATTACAGCAATGGGGTGCAAAAGAAGCCACAAGAAAGGATACACCCACCCACACACCCACCCCCTCAAAATGCAAAAACATCACATCTCGTGTCATGAGATTTACAACACAATTTCATTATTTATGATGTTTGAACAAACATAAGCTTAAATGTTAATAAAAATGTTTTACTTAAGAACTTAATTAAGCTTAAATAGTAACCCATTAAGTCCTATGAAGATCACACTTGAATTCTCCACCCCCTAATCAGCTGAACGCCCCTAGCCTTACCTTGCAACAGAAGGCTTTCACTCTCAGGTGTCCACTTTGATCGAGGAATGGATTCGAAAGCATGCAAGTTACGGCCGGCGTTGGTCGCGACAAAAACATGACCACAGCTGCCCCAGACATTCGCTAACTCGGCCTGATCTCGAGACGATCCTGGTTTCCGGTTAATGAGGCTTCCCAATTTCGAGCCATCGCGAAGTCCAAACCCCGCATCATCGATATTTTTCAGTGAAAAAACCATTAGGAATAAGATGTTACTCCATTATCAAAGAAGATAAAACAACGTCCTTGGAGGTTTATAGAAATAGAAAGTAGCTCGCATCTCGTGACTATAGTTAGTCGTCGTTTTCAGCAGGACTGCTAAGGTCTGCTTAGCAGCCTCGCCTTCATATTTGGCCGCTCTCGATCCGGACCTATGCCAAAAGCCCAAAACTCAAGTTTTTTCGGTTCTCGCTAATTTCGAATCATTTCGAATAGACAAATTCGGCTAACTCACACGCGGGGACGTGGGGACGCAGGGACGTGGGACGCGAGCACGCGCGGGGACTGGAGGACGTGATAAACAAACATCACCTGATTTTTGCGCTGAATTTGTAAAATACAATTTTCGGTGGTCAAGTGAAAAGTAATAGGGACCTTAAGCACCGATGATGAATTGAATGAGACGACGATGATGAGTAAAACTTTTGGAAGACTGGGTCGAGGACGTCATTCACGGCGTGAAAACTAAGTGCAAGTACATGTAAATAGAGCTGAGTCCTTGCAAACATCGACCTAAAACTATCGAAAAATTTTGTCATGTCTTCCTTTCACGAGCTCCACGACCAGTTTCGCTTGAGCTACGAAAACGGTACTATCGATGACAACGAACTTTCAGTTCTACATGAGGAATTTATGTCGAAAAACCTCGATTTCTCATAGGACGAACATAACAGGTTTTCACTCGGAGAGATTAACTAACCCGAATTTTCGGGCCGATATAATCTAAAACGACTTTCACGGTATAAAATTCTATCCTAAAAACATAAGCGAAAGCCTACATGTAGATAGGAACCAGAAGAAAATGAAAGAAAGAGTCATTTTTCAATTTCTGA